ATTAAATTGTACTATTATTTGTGTAAAATTATGTTAACTTTCGGCCACTGTTCTCTTGTAGACCAACATTTTTAGAGTATGATTAATACAATCATAAAATGGCAGACTACTCTGCCTCTAGTGGCTTCATATATTATTAACGTTAACCCAAAGAAATCTTCACGCTGTAAACAATCAAACGTATATTTAAGTTACAAAGGACACTGGACTTTTATTGTCCGGTTAACGTAATTCTGTATGTCAATGAAAGAAATGCAACGTGTGTCGCTTCGCAGCTGGCAAACGGATGTAGATAACATTACGCTGCGTTGACATCATTCGATTATACCTGTGCGCATACGTTGTCGAAAAGTAGGTACCTACGCTGACCCAGCATATAATGTCGTGGGAAATTTCCTTAATATTACAAAACGCGTTTTAATTTTCCAATCAAAAATTTAAATTGTATTTTAGAATCTTAAAAATCTTTTTTATAATAGAGGAGGACAGACAAGCATGTTTGTTTGGTGGTGGATGAAATACGCCCATATAACTTCTTGACAAAATGCGCTGTCGACTTATTTAAAAGACTTTTAAACGCTGTTTATATGCTGGAAAAGCAAAGGAGAGGATCTCAATAATTACACTTTTATGCGAAGAAAATTATAACAAAAGAAAATGACTAAGTATTTAATTATTTATAGAAAATGGAAAACCGAGCATTTGTAAAAGCGGATAGATGGTATCTTACTCTTGATCGAAGGTGGTTTTCACGCACACACGGGTCAAACAGAGACTCAGGCGATGGTGAGAGGAAACCAGTTTGGTGGCTATCCGGCCGTGGGCGTCTGCCGCACCTAACTTGACGCTTTAATTTCATTACTCAAATCTAATACGATGTGATCAACTGGTCTAACTTAAAATATATATGTCCATTTTAAAAAACAAGAAGATATTAGCTTGAATATCAGTCTCAGGCAAAAATAACCTTCCTAATATCATGTCTGTATTTGAATATCTTTAGGTAGAGTTGCGTACGCGTGTTATTGAACTTACATAAATGGTGCTCAAGTCCCGGTTATGTTTCTTTCTGAGCCTATACTTGGAAATTTGTCAGATATTATAAGGACTAAAAGAAGATGAGGCTAATCTTCTCTTTTTCATCGCAATCTTTTGCAAGTAGGTACCTATTCTTCCAGAGACGCTAAGATTGTATTACATTAATTACAGAAAAAAAAATCTCCAGAGATAACTGCTTTACAATCCCTATTTTATTGTACTCAGAAGGGCTTTCCTTCCCTTTGAATATTGGCACCGAACGCTACGTCGAACAGGTTGTAATATTATTTTTAAAACTTAGGTAGGTACGTCCATTAAGAATACACAAAAAATTAGGTGCCAATAAAAGGACGGAAACCTATTGTTTGACACCATGCCGGTATCAAGAATTCTATAAAAAAAGATTAGGGTCCGTTGACGTTCTAAAGAATTGAACGGCCGCGGCGTGGAATACAATGGGCCCTTTGTGCGCGGGCGCCGAACGGTCTGGCGGCGCGTCGCGGACGCACGAGGCCGCGCCCGCTCGCCGCCGCCGAGTCTAGCGCTTCACATTCACAGAGTATTGTTTGAAAAGTATTTTTATCGACATTTTTAATATTAAAATTGATGATTGTTTAAGTTTTTTAATCATTTAATTTGATGATGATGAAAGATCTTATTGTTATAGCTGGACAAATATGGATACAAAAATCTGAAAAGGGCACGTTGACGTAGGTACGAAGTTTAGAGTAAATTACCTGAATAGTGATAAACGCGGTCAAGCTATTATGTATTCTGTGAATCAAAACACAGTAATAGTAGGTAATGTAAGAATGAAGTTCCAGTTTTTCGTGCTCTTAGAGGCCTATCTATTGATAAGGCGTATAAATATTTTCTTAGTCCTTTACTTATAGTTGTTTAATCTTTAATGTATGTTGCAATTTAAACCCTAGGAAGTAAGCTGAAAATTGTACGGCATCTCTAGGAATTTTAAACATGCCTATGCAGAAATGGCCTGTAAAAACCCTGGAGTTACAGACCGTGAGACTGAGACCGTATTTTGCAGTTGTGTAAAAATGGTATAAACATGTATAAGTATTAGATAATTATACTACAACATACCGTTGTGACTTCTATGTAACGTTATACTTGATCTATAAAATTCTACATGCTACTAAACTTGTTTAAGCACAGAAACGTGGCATTTAGTCATAAGTAGGTATAAAGTTGGAGTGGAGGTAGGGCTGCCAACATTAATACGTTTTAACAAATATATCTAGTGTTTCATACAAATAAGTCATAAATATAGTATTTATGGAAAGTGTTAAAACTTGGCTTTGGCGTAACATATTACATGTACTGTTTGCATTTATTATGCATAACTGACATATGGATTATGTACAATAAGCAACCCTAAGTGAAGGTACTAACGTCACGCCACCTTATGACTTATCAAAGGATTGCGTAACTCATTGATAGAGTAGGAATATTTAAAATTTTTGCAGCTGTGCTTCGTTCGAACTATAAAAACCTGCGTCTCTTGTACATGTGTGTTATTAATTTTTTGTATTCAGATTTGAACTGCATTTTTGTATTTTAAAGTATAAGCCCTAACTGGACTTTTGGGGCATGGGGCATGTGATAAATACATTGCTAGGTTCGATTCAATGCTCCACTGAAAGCATTTTCTGTTGCGTTCAATTAAATTATCGGGTAATTTGGGTGAAAATAATAATAATTAGTATTACTAAAATATTTTTTTGGTTTTTTTTTTCTTTCCAATTTGGTAAGCATTTAAGTTCTTTCTTTTTTTCTTTTTCGAAATAGGGCAAGGTAAACGGTATATATATTTAGATAAATATGGCTACAGAAAAACGTATTCTATATGAATTATCAGCGTTTTAACGTATCCCAGGAGTTAAATAGGCCTAAATCTACCACTATGGCCAATTGCGTATTGGTATAGATTCCTCACGTTTTACCATACCGGAGAGCACGTGTCAGAATGTACACAATCGTATCCATCACCCAAGGAGGTGCTTTAAATAAATCTTTGACGTATTAGTAAACTTTAACGAGACACATGTTAATAATTTGTGGCTCTCACAAAACTGTCGCTGATTGTGCGGATGTTCGTAACTTCCGCTTTAGAAGCTTGAACATGTTTTTTTGCCGAAAACGTATTAGCGAAAAGGAATTTAAGTTAAGCAGCCGGGGCGGCGTCTTCTCATTATAGATTACATTAATTAGGACTATTTTTTGGGTCTTTCTATTTCATGGTATGGTAACTGCTTTTGTAACATCCTATGTATACTTATACAGTGCTGTTACTAGCTTTATAAGCGCCCGGTGTGATATTTAGAAACTGCGACCTTGAAAAATGTCTTAACTAAGTCTGGTAATAAAATGGACAAATATCATAATTAAACTGTATCGGTTCCATACATAATCCATCACAGCACGTTACGCACTAGAGTCAACGTTACCATACTAAATGTATGAAACTAATAATTTAGTATGGTAACACCTTTACATGGGTTGTTGTTTCAAGACCGCTGAAAAATGCGATACAGATTTTAATAGTACAGTAAGGCGGTCTGGTCATTTTGCGCGCCCTGTGCCTGGGGGTATTGCTGGCACCGCCCTTTTTACGACACTGTACTAATATAAGAAAGCTAAAGAGTTTGTTTGTTTCTTTGATGGCAATAGTCTTAGAAACTACTGGTTCCAATTAAAAATTATTTTTTATACTGGCTGGACCATTTATCAGGAGCTTCACCATCAGATGGAGTAGGCGAAGGTATAATGGAAAGAACGGGGAAATTGTCCTCATTTTCGTTCGATACGAAAACGGTTCCAGACAATAAAAACTAAGTATGAAAGAATGATTCTTCATTCAATGTATTATTAATCATAAAAAAACCGCTACAGTAAATGTTTAGCTTTTGGGTTTACAAGAACCGTCGATAAATTGTCGTCGGAATACTTTATATACCAAAAGAATGTTTGCCGGGTCAGTTAGGTATATAATATTTAGGTACATATTAAAGACAAAAATTTGGTCACTTAAACTGTGTTGCAAACAATAAAAGTTAACTAGTTTTTAACATATTCAGATTTAACTTTACATCGGGAACGACCACCATGTTTATGCCAAGTCGTAGTTAAATATTTATTACTTAGGGGTTGTCCATTAATCACGTGAGGCTTGAAAGGGGGGGGGGGTTTTAAAAAAAAAAAAAATATAAAAAAAGGGGGGGGGGGGGGATAAAATATATTGTGTGTTTTTTTTTTTTACCCGCCGGGGTTTTAAAAAAAAAAAAGGGGGGTGGTGTTTTGCCCCCATTTTTTTTAAAAAAAGGGATTTTTTTTTTTTAAAAAAAAAAAAAAAAAAAATATTTTATTTTTTTTTTTTTTTATTAATAATATATTTTTGGGGGGGGGGGGGGGGGGCTTAGTAGAATTCATGTTTTATATAACTATTATTTAACACTCGGAATCGACCTTAACCTACTGATCGGAAAATCACTTACATACTAAACATGAAAATTTTTAATATAGCTAATAAAACTTTTTTTATAAAAAGCTGCAAGACAGGATAGACGTAATTTATTGCATTTTTGTAACTATTTTCGAAGTTATAGAAAAATCAAAGCAACATTCTAATTATATTATACATATAGGAACTGTTAACTTAATTTAAATTAAGTTATATTATATTATTAAACTCTAACAGTCTTTTTGCAATATTTCTTTATTAATTTTAGGTAACACAATCTATGTTATTTATATTGTGCAAGTACTAATATTTTTTTAACATAAATAGGTAAGTTTCTACGGCCAAAAAATTGCATTGCATATTTAAAACTAATATCCAAATTAAACAGAAAAGAATAAAACGAGGTGTGTAATTATGAATTTTATTTATGTTTAAAAGTTGCAATGTATGGAACTGTTGCAGTACCCAATGTGGGTAATATTATTTAAACGACTCCCCATACTTCTTCAAATGCAGAACACAACTTAGCACATGTCAAGGCTGCTGATAGTGGGTAATTACTGATGGAAATAGTGTCTTCTGAATAATCTACATCCACCTTTCCGTGAGCCATTGCTCCTATTATCAAAACAATTGGCTCATCCTTAGGAACTAATTCTCTGCATGTCTGAACCATTTTAGAACTAAATGACATAGTGATCTTCTTCACCCCAACTGGTAAATGTGATGTAATCGGATTCTTAATTACTTTAAGCAGTTTCATTGGTCCATCTGATGCTCGAATTGAGAACTTGTGTAAGAGTTGAACTGAAAAAACCACACAAATAATGAACATTTATATATTCCTTAAAATCTGAACACCCGGGCAGTTAAAAAAAAATATACTTTATACTCTTTGAAATTTAAAAAAATATTTAGTTTATGTATTACTTAGTAATTAGGATTCCTTATTGTTCCTAAGACAAACAGTACTCATGGCGCCATCTAGTGGTACGATTAGCGTAGCATAAATATATATATTTTTATATTTAAGACCTTTTCTATATTAAAATATTATCTAAGACTGAATGAAAGCTTACCCATTAATCCAGCAAATCTTTTAAAAGTTCTAGGTATCCTTGTCTGAGGGTTGATTTCTATGAGCACATTTTTTTCTGTATGTATGTATACTTGTAAGAGTCCAGCCCGATTAAGAGGAGAATCCATTAACATAAGGAGAGACTGGTGAGTTATATCTGGACGGCATGAACCAGGATCTCTATCATTTTTCCTTAAAATATTAGCATGATCATCACAGTTTAGTAATTCAAAACTGTTCCCATTCTGCAATGAAATAATTTTAAATTGTTAACTTTCCTTTCCTACTCTGAGAATAAGTTATGTTAAAAATATTAATAAAATTGAAGTAGAATAGGCTAAGAGAGTCTTTGGAGTGTAAACCACAGTTAGTTTAAAGAACATACAAAAAATCAACAATTAACAAAACTTTTATAAAACTGAAGAGTTTTAGGAGCTTTAAAATTTGAAACTTAATATTTTAACATACATATTACATTACCTTTACTGTTTCTAACTGCGCACTTTCTAATACCACAATTAAACGTTTTTCTTGCTTCTTTATATGGGATGTAACTAAATGTCTAGGTATGGGGTCATATTCAAAGTCAGTATTTTCAGCATGTTTCCTCTTCTTGCCCATGTTTCAATCTGGAAGAATGAAAATATACTTAATTAACGTCACGCTAGTTTCATAAAACAGAAGGAGAATTGGTAAACAAATAATTCATTTAACTTATTAATACATCTAACATACTTTAAACTAGCTGTTCTTGCTTAGTCCTCTTGTAACAATATTTATATTTAATAAGGTAGTTCTAATTTTACGAGAACTATTAATTAGTGCATGTATTGAAAACAAATTAAATCTATTATGATTTATGTTGACAAAATTCACATGTGAAGATAACACGTTTAGGAGCGATAGAGCTTTTTAGGAGGTTGAAGTTTTGAATTTGTATATCTTTCATTTTGACTTTACTTTTGACACTGACAGTGACATATGTCAAAGACAAAAACTCAATTTTGTCGTGTATTTTATCGATTATTGTTTACATCCAATTTTACGAAAAACAATATTTTGTAATTGGAAGTATTCGCATTAAATTGAAGTAATAATAAAAATCATATATTAATTGTTAGCACTATGGCAAACGACAGGGAAGTTTTACGGGAAATTTGGGATGGAAAACTCCCTGTTTGTTTTCAATTAGATCAAGAAGAAATTATGGAAATTCAGCAACCGGACCCCTTTTACGTTATGGTGCCTCGATTAAGTTATTTCCCCCTTGTCATTGATAAGGTAAAAGATAAGAACTACAATGCTAAATAGAGTCATGTGTAAATTAATTACTTAAAAGGTGCCCAACCTTTTCAGATGAAAAGACATTTTTTGCGTTTTATATCTCAAGAAAATGCTGATAATGAAATGTGGCTTGATTATAATGGGCAACCTTTAAAATGGCACTATCCAATTGGTTTCCTGTATGATTTATATTGTGGTAGTGATCCTCAAACACCATGGATATTGACTGTACACTTTAGTAAATTTCCAGAAAATATTTTACTTCACTGCCCCAACAAGTAAGAATTGTTTATTGAGAAACATAATATTTATTGAATATATAAATTACTACAAGTAGGAAATATGTATTGGTTGCAGAGATATTGTAGAGGCACATTATATGTCAACAGTTAAAGAAGCAGATGTTCTTAAACATAGAGGACAAGTAATGTCTACTATGCAAAAGAAAGACCATAACCAACTATGGCTAGGATTACAGAATGGTGAGGATATTTTGATATAAATTTTAAGTATCTTAGAAATTTTTAATGAGTAACTAACAGAAGGGATGTTGAAGTCTTAATGTTGTATGTATTTATAAAACAATTGTTCTTATTTTATTTTCCCATAGATAAATTTGACCAGTTCTGGGCCATAAATAGGAGATTAATGGAGTCCCATGGGGAAAGTGAAGGATTCAAAAATATACCAATAAGAATATATTCTGAAGATGGTACCTATATTCAAAGACTCATAAATCCCAAGAACAGCGACGGGAGTAGAAAAGTAGTTCAGCAGCTTATATCAGAATTATATCCAGAAAATCCTGGTAATAAAGTTGATTAAATCACAAAAATAGTAATAGTTTTAACATTCATATCCTGTAGTTGGTTTCCATTTTAAAAAAGTCAAGAGGTAAATTGAAATCTGTAATAATTTTTGCACCATCCACTGAAAAATTTTCTTTACTTTGTGGGCCATTTTTTCATATTTTACTAATTATTGAGGCAGCATTTTAGAAGAATCATATTAAGTGATTATTGTAATGTTTCAGTTAAATTGAGAACACATGGTATAAATATCCCCCTCGACACACCACTACAATGGCTCTCTGAACATATGAGTTACCCTGATAACTTTCTACATGTCTGTATATGTTAGTGCTTTCTAAAAATATTATTAAAAACAAAAATAAAACATTTTTGTATCTTAATGTTTTTTATTCACCTTGTTTTATCTATGGTTACCTAATTTGAATAAAAATAGTATTTAGTAGGTAGAATTACATTATCTAAGATCTGTCTTCATGTGAGATTAATATTTCTTAGTAACAGTATAAATATGTTGCAAGTAATTAAAACAGACAATGAAGTAATGAATTTTTAAAACAATCTGTCCTGTATAGGATAAAAAACTGCTTTTTTTTAACTAGGACACACAAAATGAGTAACAGCATAGAAAATTCAGGTACATAACAAAAAGTGGCCTTTATTAGCTAAGTGTTTAGAGCTCTTTAAGCTGTGTTAATACTAAAATAACATTTTCTATTGTATCACAATTCACTCTTAACCTTATGCTTTTGAATTACATATGGAATTTGCTTGGTAAATCTTTTACAGCCATTATTAGCAAAAATTGGCTGATCTTCTGTTGGACCATAAGTTATCACCGCTAAAGCATCCCTGAAAATATATATAAGTACTACAATTAGTGTTTTTGATAATCTGCTTTCAATATCCAGTTTTGTTTGTATTGTGTTGATAAGGGAAGATTCATTATTTTTGATGACCTAGCTAAGCAAAACAGATAACTTCTAAACACATTTTATACATAAGTTAAATGACGCTTATACATAGTCAATTAGGTATATGAAAGTCTTGCACTTTCATGAACCTTGGTCCAAATATAAAAGTGACCTTGCTTACAAAAACTATATAGGTATTAGAGGACATAGATAGCGTCTTAATAGCATATTTATTACAGCAGATTACTGGATAAATTTAAATAAAAATAATGTACTAATAGATTATTATTTGGAGCAGTTCTACTTACGCCATCATTTCTTCAGTTGGATGAAATACTCCATGAGATCTGAATTCGGCTAATGCACATGCCTCAACATGTTGTTGTTCCAATGGCAGAAATGGTATAAAATGATCAATTAAATTCTGAGATATAGTCGCAGATTTTTCAAAACCACCTAAAACAAAATTATTTTTTACATTATGGCCACATGTGAAAATACATTGTTATGGCTTTTTTTTAATACAAAAATAATACCTGTGCTATAAGCTACCCTTCGTATAATGGGTTCAAAGTTATGAAAATCAACTTCATTTCTCTTTATGCCTTGACTGTATAATTCCAAAAGATGTTTTGCTATTTCTTTACCACCAATATTGGAAATAAAAATGAATATTGTATTCCTATAACAGATTACCTTTAAAATATAGTGTTTCTTTTAATTAAATCTTACATATAATTATCAATACTAGTTCCAGCTAGGCTCATTTTTGTAAAAGCCGTTTGTTATTTGGCATATCATGCACAGACCGAATGTAGGGTGGCACAAACACAATATATCTGTTTATCATTAATGCAAATACAAAATTATTTTTGTAGTTTTTCCAATAATTGGACCATAGACAATAGGAGATCTAGAATTTATTTACTTACCTAAAGTCTATTCCATCAACCATATGATGATGATCGAACATTGGTTTTATGGCATCCAAAATACTTGGACATAATTCGTGGATTTCATCAAAGATTATCAATGACGTTGGACAAGTTTTCACAATGTTTTTAACATCATCTATAAGCTTTTGCTGTTGATAAGCAGAAGATTGAATCAAACATGTTTTTAAATTAATTAAAGGATTCTATAATAATATAACGTAATTAAAGACCTGTGTTTTATGGACTTCTGTGCAATCAAAATCTTTTTTACCCATGAAGATCTTCACATACTTGCTCTGGACGCCTTTCTCAAATAAGGATTCAGCTATCATACTAGTTGCATAATTCTTACCAACCCCCGACCAACCATGTAAACTTATTACAAGGGCTTTTTTATTCTTCTTTATTTCATCATTTAATGCTTCCTTGTGAGCAGCTAAAATATTTATTAACTCATTCACCAATGGTTGGCCAAATATTTTGTGTGAGAAGAGAAGTTTCAGTTCTGAAACAATTTCGTTTGTTTAAAAATAATAATAGATTTTTGTAAAAAACATTGTACAAGGCCCACAGTACTCACTGTTTAAATCGTATGGTACATGTCTTTCGTCGCAACATTCCATAAAACGACAAAAGGTATTTGTTTTTATGGTATCCCAACCAAACCAAGAACCCAAGAGAAAAGTAGATCCAGCAATCAATGTAATGGGTTCAGATGAGACATTATGAATATTTAATAGCATAAGAACGGAAATAGATACATTATAAAACCTGATTTTCATTGTTTAGACTTTTTTGTTACTTTTAAGTTTTTCACACATGACCCCTAAATAACAATTATGTATTTTTTTTAAATGTAAACTAATAATGCAAAAGCTAGGTATCACACAGCACGCGTCTTCCTTAATTTATATTTACAATACAATAAAAGTGTTCGCAATTACATAGTTGGAAATAGTTACAAATGGTCATGAACCAATCGTGAACAGTGAATGTGGTCATTGGTTGTCAACCCTGAGTTTCTTTTCTTAAAGACTAGAAGGTATAACTTTTTGTCCTTGTCATTTTCAGAACACTAAGTTATCAAAAATATTATAAACTCTACAAATAGATATAATATATTATATTTTATTTTATTGGTGACCATACAGCGTGTAACCCATTTCTCCCTATATAGATATTAGACAAAAACATCACAGAACAAATATCATATATCAACAAGTATATACCCGGAAAATAATAGTCTGCTATATAATATTATTCATGAATAAAAACACAGAAGTAAAGATTTAGTAGTAATACCAATACACCATATATGATTAAAATAAAATTATAGATTAAAACCCCAGTTTATTAAAATTAACTAAAATTTTTAAATTTTGTGTTTATTACCTGTGCAGACTATACGATTTTCGCGGGCATTTGCTATGATAGTTCTTTTTTGCTTACATTGCATCGCATATAAACAAGAATCTAATTGAGAGATTTTATATTACTTATACCTTATATATTATATACTTAGCTTAACATTTATAACGATAGATGTTATGGCTCAAAATTTTAAACTTGAGACGGGTATTCAGCTACTTTCAAGACTGAACAAAAAAGCTGGCATTAAACACTTTTACCCGATTCTGTTTCAAACCGGACCCCAGCAAGGCGAAATTGTCGAAATATACAGCAATAGTACTGCCAATCCATTACTTAACGAACTAATTACTGCACTTCTTTTACCGCAGTCCATGGGTGGCATAGAGAGTGGCGTATTATACTTTAACACTGATGGTAATTTTAATAAACATGTGTTAATCAAGGAATTAAAGAATAAAATTAATATACGTATCGTTAGAGGAAATATTGAAATGAATAATGAAAACGTGCAGAGTTTATTATGTGATGCTATTAAAAATCTGTATATAGTAGACATCTATAATGCCAGTCAATTCTATGTAACTATTCAAAACCTAGATAATATTTTAATGAAACATCCAAACATATCAGTCATTGTTTTTAATAGTTTAACTGCATTTTATTGGTCAGAACAAAGCTTTATGGCGACGAAAATGGATCTTTACTTAAAGAAGTTATTAAGAACAATTCAGAAAGTCGTAAAGGATTTTAAAACAGTGATTATATACACAAGACCAGAACATTTCAGTAGTAGTAAAGAGACAATAGAAAATCTGGATCCCTGTTGTCCTGTTCCAACAGAAGAAAGAATTAATTATAGGTTACAAATACTTTATTCCAACAATAATAATACAAACAATTTTATAGTCGTTCAAACCTATAAAGGACTGAATAAAATACCATTTAAATTGAAAGACAATGAAATTGTTTGGTAAATGTATAATCAAAGAATGAGTTTTCAATTTTAAAAATAATTATAAAAGGAAAATATAATTAAAGTGTAAAAATGTATTACAAAAAATTAAATAAAAAAATCTATCTAAATACAAAATGATTAATAAATACTTGAAATTTGTGCAAGTCTTAATTTTACTTCTTATCTTTCCTACTTACATTTATAAATATCACAAATGCACTTGAAGATAATACATTGTTTTCTATTACAATATCACAATAATATTAATACACTACAAGATTCATGACCAAAGTACAAAATATTATAATGTTTATTTACAAGAAATGCAATAAGTATATAAATTGTGACTTATATAATAATACATTGAAGTTGAGTATTTTAAAATTTATACATAATACTGCATTCAAAACAATTAAGCTTAACTGTGATTGTTTACATCATTAAATATACAACATATAAAAATGCAGCGAGACCATGGTTGAAAAAATCAAGATTCTCCCATTTACTGATTGTGTGGGAAAATGAATATCCTGTTTCTTGCATTGAGAATGATGCTTCAAACATAACTCCTAAATAAGCTAAATGTACAATTGTTATCAATGAAAATAAACCATTTAAAAACATAGCTAAGATTGTATTCTTCTTATATCTGTGTTCACACTGCTTTATACATGGGTTAGCTAAGCAACAGACCTCTAATGCACTTGCTACCTTGTGTCTAAAATTATATTCCACATAAGAAAATGTGCCTATGCTTAAAAGTACAGCAGAGAGCTGAAAATTACAACCATGGAGAGCTGATGACACAGCATATGTTATGAAAATAGCAAAGAATTGTCCATATGCCTGACAAGGCTTAAATACATAATTTTTAAGCCATTGGTGCATTGGAATATTCCAAAATATAACAACTTGTACTAACGATCTTGGCAATTCAATAAAAAATGGTTTTGTGATTTGTACTTCACTATGGCAATCATTGGTTAGTCCAAATCCGGCACTGATCATTGATACAATGGACATACTCGATACAAAGTAATGCGACATGCGAAAAGCCTGTGCATCTCTATACGCAATCAGCCACTTATTACTGTCATCAGCGATAAACCAAGGAGTGATGCAGTTTGATAAATTTAAAAATACCAAAGCAGCTATTAAGTTCAATACAATCATCTTAATCCATCTCCTAGATAAAAATCGAATAGAAAGATATTTGTCGTAAGACTGATATGATATCCAGGGCCCTAATATGCAATTTGCTGGACAGAAAATGTAACCAAAGTATTCAATTGGATTAATCATTCTTTTAAATAAACTTCTGTCAAGTTCAATGGCAACTGATATTATTTTCATTGATGCTATCATTTGAATGCCTCTTATTTGCTGCCATATCTTCGGTTGGACCAAATAAAGCTCGCTTGTCAATAAGAGCAACATAATACAGACACAAATTATAAAGCCACAAACTTTTTTTGACGTAGCAAATTTTAAAAATAAAATGAGTAAATATGAGCTTATAGCAAGACCTATTAACCAAGAAACGGCTGTTCCGGTGTTGTGATACAATAATAAAATGCCTGTGATTAAGCTTAAGCTATGACGAACATTTTGCGGCATTTTAATATATTGAATGACGATTCGTAAGAAAATGTTAGCTATGAGCAAATCCTTGGCAAATCTTAATCCTTCGTAGAGCGTTGGTTCGATGCAAAATGATAAATAAGTCCAAGAATTTTCGATATACTCATCTTCTTCCATTTTGCCGATTTAATTTTCAATGTATTTCTTGGTAAGACAGTTCTGTTCAATTATTGTTAATACTGAATGGGTGCGTTTTCTTCACATAAACACTAAAGAGTGAAACTATTTAAGAATGTATGCCAAAGCCTCTAGATTTAGGCTAAAGAAACTAAAAAATGCAAAAAGCACCAACACAATTGGTGTTAATTGGCGTTTTTTATACATAATTTGTATTTTCATCAAACAGGTATTATATTTTCATTGTACTGAATCAAAATTCAAATCACAAATAAAACAATTTAAATCACAGATTACACATTCTACAAACATCTTAAATATCTATAGACACATTGCGTATGAAACTTTTAATAATTTTGTCTTTAAAAATTTCCGGAGATAATATAATATAAATACATAATTTAAGCTTTTAACGAAATTGAAAATTTAAATATATTGCAAGCTATGATAATGATAATAATATGCTAAGGTTTTTATCACAAAATCACTATAGTCTGTTCTTGCCTTGTAGTTTTGATAAAAATCAGTCAGTCTATGTCCCTGACTTGTTTTATGTATATTTCTGCGCGTCTGTGCCAATTTACTATGAGCCGTCTGTGGCATAGTGGAAGCTGATATGATTATGGAAACATAATGGATTAAATTTACGTTTTTATTTATTAAAGATACTAAACAAATTAAATATAATACATTAAGGTTCAGCGGGGGGTATATGTACTAATTTATTTAGTGTGAGTGCATATAAATGACTGACACACAAGTGTTCTATACGTGTTGTGTTTAAAGCTATTCCTAAACCAAGCTATAGGAGCCATTGAAGTGTATTAAAGATAGTGGTATGCAACGTTGAAAAACTTTTAAGATGGCTAGCCCGTCGCCGCAGAATAGTCCGATGCCGCCGCCACAGGCGCCGAGTCCTATGGGACCGCCAACTCAGAGCCCGGCTCCGCCGCACTCGCCTCACAGCCCCTATAATCAACAACATGTGAATGGACCACCACCTTCTCATCCTGCCGGCTCTGGACAGCCTCCAATCTCGAATCATATGCCGCCGTCTGGTCCCCCGCACAACATTGCCCCTAATGCTAATGGTCCTCCTGGAGTGCCCCAACATCCTAATATGCCTCCGGGTGGCCATCAAATGCCTGCGCATATGGTTGGACCTCACATGTCTGGGCCACCAGGTCATGGTGGACCAGGTCCCAATGGACATTCAAACATGCCTGGGGCCCCTCAGCACCCTAATATGCCCGGTCAAGGTGCACCCCATGGATACATGCAACATCAAATTGGCCACTTGCCCCCAAACCAGGTATACCTTCATAATTTTTTTTTTCAATATGCTACAATAAATAATAGTCAGACGTATTATAAACTTTGTGATTTTTTTTCTAGAAATTATAATACAAAATTGATAATAGATATATATAAGCAGTCCTGAAATGATGTTGACTGTTAGTACATTTGTTGAATAAAGGTCCATAGATGTCTTTTGCTATTGAGAGTGTCTCATGTAAAATAGCATTAAATTGTTTAGCGAGAGGCAATATGTGTGCCGGTTTAGGTAGAAAATCATTTTGGTGTTCTAAGAATTGTGTAAATACAATTGGTATATTTAACTTTTTCTTTACCCAATCAGCCATATTTCCAGTAAAATTATCTGTAAATAGGTTTATCTCTTTTAAACAAGGGTATGTTAAAGATGGATGAAGGCAGGGAAGTTGTATTATCAAAATACACATTTCTTATGAAATATTATTATTATATACAATATCTTATTTTGCAAAGTGGACATAGTTCTATAAGTGTTGCATTGCCCTCTTTTCCTATTATCTTTAAACAATTTTACCCATATTTTTCTTATTGCACATAAAACTTACTTAATATCATTAAATTTATAAGTAAAGATCTTACAAATAAATCTATTTGTTGTATCCACATAGTAAGTTGCATTGTAGGAATTTTTTACTTTAGTTGCTGCTGACTTAAGAATATCCAACTGTAATAAAGGAATGCTTCTTTAAAATTATGTTATTAGGTCAGAGCATAAAATCTAGTACTTACAACAATATCATGGTTATTAGTTGGTTCTTTATGTGCATAGGGTATAACAATATACTTTCCAAATCCTTTGAGATTGATAAAAGCTATCATATTTATTGCTAATCCATTCAAAACATATGATAATGTTTGTGTCTCTTCTTCAGACAATGGTTCATGTCCTATATAAACTCCTTTACATTCTTCTTCTGCTACTGTAATGGGTATAGCGCTATATAAATGTATTTAGTTCTAACAATTAATAAATGATGTAATAGTACATTTAGAAGCTTTTCTGTAAAACCAATTTCTAGCTATATTAACTCCAATGGCCATCGTGTCATTCTGACATGTGATAGGTGGAAAGAACTCCCTTCTATTCTTTGACCAAAAGCGATCCTGAAATAATAAAATAAGATTATATATAGCCGGGGAATTACTACATCTGTTAAATGTAAAAAATAAACTTACTGATTTCTTGCTATATACAAAACCATCTGGATTAAGAACAGGTACTAAATAAAAATCAAAGTGTTTCAATAGGAATGTATCTCTATCAGTTAGCAGATAGTTTACAAAGTTTAAAACAACTGCAGATGAAATCCAGTCTTTGCCATCTTCACCGCCTACTATAAACACAATAGGTTTCTTGTACCCATTAGATACCTTTAGGATAAATATATCCCGCCTTTCATATGTTTTTGCTATGACAATCTTTTGTAGCATTTTATATTTTTTCACTTGAACATCAACCCATTTCGTAATGTGTGACCAATCAAAAAATGATTTTGAAATGTCATTTTGGTGAGGGAATAGTCTATGTTCCAAAGTATCCCTTTAAAAAAACACTACTAAGAAAATTATAAATACTAGCTGTGCCAGCGACTTCGTCCGCGAGAGTCGTTATTTTGGGCATCCAAATTAGTTTTTGCAAAACCCGTCATCTTTATAAACTTAAGCTGTTACCCACGTCTTCGGTCGCGTCTCTTCCCGTCGTTCTTGCAAGTTAATCTTAAAAAATAAACATATACCGTCGCGGCGTTTTTTAAGATCATTTAAGGAGGAATCATTTTTTTATACACATTTTTAGTTATCTTAAACCGTACTCGAAGCGTACGCATCTGAAACCCACAGAGATGAAAGAATTCCCCCATTTTGTTCACATTTCCCACTCTATCTTCGCTCTTATATTACAGCGCAACGTTTTATAGCCTATAACCTTCGTCGATAAATGATCTAACCAACACAAAAATAATTTTTCAATTCGAACCCGTAGTTCCTGAGATTAGCGCGTTCAAACAAACAAACTCTTTAGCTTTATATATTAGTATAGGTTTGGCAGTGTAGTTTTATAATTGTGATTGTTACTTACAAAAAATGCTCTTTGAAGTATGCATATTGGATATCATATGCGTGAAGCTTCATTTCAAAAGCTAGTTTCAATTGAGTCCCCACAGCTACATCTATGGGTATAGCAGCTTCATTTGATACACCATTCATGAAAGACACCTTATGTTCTTTGGTGTATATTGTGTAAAGTATTCGCCTCTCTCGTGGGTTGAAAGCGGTTATTTCATATAGAGTGTAGTTAAGAGCATTATTTACAAATATATTCATAAATACAAGAAGGACACGAATGTTTAATGCAACTAACATGTTTACTGATTTTAATGGATAAAGTGTTGTGAACAAGATGGTTATGAAATGTCACTGTACTATACAATTTTTTAAAATATATATTGTATAACTTTAAAACAACATTTTGGGACTCGTACTACTTTGGAAGTTATTGCTTAGGAAATGTTATTGCACACGTTGGCATTATGTAAATTAAAAAAACTTTAAAATATATAATTATATGTATGTTGTTTAGTTCTTCAAAAATCTACTATATTATAGCAGGAAGTAGATGAGTATTACCCATATTTATTAAATTGACAGACAATACATATAACCTGATGTAACAGTTTAAAGAAGTTTCTTACTCTGTGCATAAATTCCCCTAAATTAAATAATTATCTTTATATGTACTATGTATATAACTCAATGTTTTAGGCGCCAATGGGTATGGGCGGAGGACCGCCGCCACCTGGAGGGCCTCAAGGACCACCCGGTATGCCCATGCCCCGTGGGGGCCCACCACCGCATGGAGGCCATCCGCAAGGCATGCCGCCAATGCCACCGCACCACAATATGATGGGAGGATATGGCCACCCAGCTCCTTCTCCGGGCGGTTCTACTCCGCCCGCATCTGCAAGCAGTGGTGCGCCTCCACCGGGCCAACAACAACCCCCAACAGCACAAACGCCACCACACGGATCTGTTCCGCCACCTTCGACATCAGCAGCCAATGGTGCGCCGTCTTCTTCGCCCATGCAAGGTTCACTTGCTGCAGCTGGACCAGATAACCTAAACGCCTTACAGCGCACCATAGACTCGATGGAGGAGAAGGGCATGCAAGATGATCCCCGGTATTCGCAGCTGTTAGCCATTCGGGCACGTAATAGCCCCCACTTTTCCAATACACAATTGAATCAATTGAAGTAAGTGCATTTTTGATTGTTTTTTACAAGGTTAAAGAAAGTATTTTATGTTGATAAATTCTATTTTATTTAAAAATATAAAGCGAATTAAAAGTTTCAATTAAGAATTAAAATTAAAATGAGTTAACTTTTTAGAGACAAATAGATAGCTATAGATAAAAATAATATTTTGTTTTCAGGGCGCAGATTGCGGCCTACAGAAATTTAGCGCGTAATCAACCGATAACTCAGCAAATAGCGTTAATGGCGACTGGTAAGCGAACAGGTGATTCGCCACCGGAATGTCCAACACCGCCAGCACAACCACCATCGCCGTATGGTGGCAGTAGCGGGGCTTCGCAGGGATCTGGACCCGCGGGTGCAGCCGGCTTGGGATACGCTGGTGCAGCGGAGCCCGCTCGCGGTGGTGGTGGTGCACCTCCCACGCCATTGCCAATGACGGGTCAGATGGCACCCCCAACACAACCTACGCCGCCTCTCGTCAATCCGGTAAGATTATATTTAAAGATCAAATGGAAAATAAAGGCATTTTGATTTGTGGACTATATTATTCAAACTTAAATCTTTTATTATCCTTTTTACACTGCTGAGGGCTTGACACAGGAACAATAGTTTTGTGACTGGCTAAAGTTATAGATAATTCTTAAAAATACAGTTCATAATAAAGTCCAGGATTGCTACTAAAACAACATACACCTCAATAAAACCTCACCACACACAACACATTAAATCATAGTCTTGTGTGACAAACCGAGTTAGACATCTGCTATCGAAGGAGTTTCACATGTTACTTGAAAGTTATATAAGCAAGTCCTAGCAGTTCTAGCGGCGGAGGAAGCTCGTTCGTAGGTCATATTGGTTTTTTATGCAGATTTTTTCTTGTAAGTCATTTCTTGTGGATCACAACAGGATTTTGTGATTGTGAAAATCAAACCGAAAAGGTCCGTTTTAGAAAGAGTTGCTTTTCCTTTTATACCAAATTTTTTAAAGCTAAATTTGGTGATATTTATAATTCTCAATGTGGAATAAGGCCTATAAGCGCAGAGGTGGCTTGCAACACAATGGTGGAAAGTGTTGATGATATCTCACCATAATCAATTAAACAAATAAATAACCCTTAATACTTATAGCCAATTGGTGGTGCACCTGCCGTGAGACCAGGCGGCCCAGTTCGACCTGCTGGGCCCACCGCACCTGGAGGTCAGCCTGCACAGCCCGGTGCACCGACTCCTGTAGCTAAACAGAACCGGGTGACGAGCATACCCAAACCAGTGGGAATTGACCCGCTGCTGGTGCTGAATGAACGAGAGAATAGGTATAAAACTAAATTAAACGAAAACAACTTTCGTTCAAAAGTTCAAATCATTGAAGAAACATATGAAATACATATTAAAATAAATGGTTTAGTAACACATATAAGAAGTTAACTTGTTCAAATTTTCTGCTGCTTTTTATACAAAAATGATTTAAAACAATGATGTTTAAGTAATGGGATAATTGTTCAATTTAAGAGCTATTTGGTTATATGCATATATATTATTTGTGGTAGAATTATTGTTGGTCATTTGCTAGGAACCAAATAAAGTTACCCCGTTTGGGTTTCATAAATAAGGTTTTAATACTAAGCATATTGTAATAATTTTGTACATATTTATTAATATTATCATGGCTTTAAAAATAATAGTAAAGGAAAAATAATAAAAAGCATTGTGTACTTAAGATTCTAAATACATATTTTCCACAGAATCGCAGCGCGCATCTCCCATCGCATGGAAATGCTGTCCAGTCTACCGGCTAACATCCCGGACGATCTAAGATTGCAAGCACAGATCGAGCTGAGAGCTCTTCGTCTGCTTAACTTCCAAAAGCAGTTGCGTTCAGAGGTGTGCTTCGCTATTTTTTTAAACACTAGCTGAGTCAGTGACTTCGTTTACGTAGAATCGTTTTGGGTATCAAAATTAGTTTTTGTAAGCCTCCCCATTTTTTAAAATTATAGCTGTTACTAAAGACATCGTCCTGTCGTCGCCTTTTTGCAAAATAATATACTGTCGGACATTTTTTTATCTGGAATTGTTTTCGCAGCGCACGCAAAGGAATCCCCCAGGAGGATTAAAAATTTCCTTTTTTTTTTACATTCCCGGTGTAACTTTGCTCCTATTAGTTGCAGCGCGTTGTTTTATAGTGGTTCCTGAGATTAGCGCGTTCAATACAAACAACTTTATTTATTAAACATTAATAATGAACACAGCATAACTTAGGTTCGTAATGTAGCGGGCAGATGTCACAGTTTATTTGACGACAGTTTTAAACTTTAAATTAGACAATTGTTATAAGTTTGTCATTAATTTGCAAAATTACGATGATTTCTAAGAAGCTTCTAGTCTAGACAAATGTTATAAAAATTAGCAGTCTATAGGTTGAAAAAAATCGACGATGACGTTTTGGATACTGTAGCTCAATTGGTTAGAGTTACAGCATCGAACACTGGATGACGGTTCAAGTCCTGCCCTTTTCGTAATTTTTTTTCAATCTAAAGTCGATATAGTTTGACATATACCACTTTTATTCTAGATATTGGGACAAGTCCGCCGCGACACTACCTTGGAAACGGCGGTGAACATCAAGGCGTACAAGCGGACTAAGAGGCAAGGCTTGCGAGAGGCTCGCGCTACTGAAAAGCTGGAAAAGCAACAGAAACTCGAAGCGGAGAGGAAGCGAAGGCAGAAACACCAAGAGTTCTTGCAAACTGTGTTGCAGCATGGTATGTTTGTTAAATCTTACCTAGTTCTGATATTATATAGAAAATCCTATTATTATCATATAGAAAAATCTAAAGTAATTAATTTTTGAACTGACTATTTCGTATTGTGTTCCTAAAGAGCCACGAATACTAACCGGGCGTTTATTCTTTTTTAAACAGCCTGGAAAACAAATATAAGCTTAACGATGGCCGTCCTTAATTTACTTACACCTCTAAAGACAATTTACTAGTGCTGTTAGTGAAGTAAAATATAATTTTAACTTGTAATGATAATTTATTATATAAATTATTAAAATGTTAAAAATCAACCGATTTTTGGAGCTTTCGAGAAAGGAATGCCATCATGAATCTATCTATGTAACTATGTATATGTTGTTATATAAAGTTTTAAATTTTTCGCGCAGCAAAGGACTTCAGAGAGTACCACCGCAACAATATTGCGAAATTATCGCGCATTAACAAGGGTATTATGAACTACCACGCGAACGCTGAACGCGAACAGAAGAAGGAACAAGAGCGAATCGAGAAGGAGCGTATGAGACGGTATGGAATAAATACTTAATTATCATCATAGCCGCCTTAATCTGGAATTATTTTGAAGCTTTAAAAAATCGACGATGAAAATGTCAAGTTAAACTAAGTTCCCTCCTGTGTTTATTCCCTATCTTACATCAAGAAGTTGATTTTTAGACAAGTTATTTTGGAAAAATTCGCAAATTGCAATATGCAGCAGTGCAAATTAAAATACAACTACTTCTTGAATACTTAGTAAATTCAGTAAATGACTAAAAAGCTTATCTTTTTCTCGTGTTTAATATTCTCTTCTCTTTTCACTAGTCTTATGGCAGAGGACGAAGAAGGTTATAGGAAGCTTATTGACCAAAAGAAAGACAAGAGATTGGCGTTCCTCCTATCACAGACGGACGAATATATCGCCAGTCTCACGGAGATGGTGAAACAGCACAAGCAGGAGCAGCGCAAGAAACAGCAAGAAGAAGAGCGTAGGAAACGGGTGAGTGTATGTATAGATAGGAGAACCGGCAGGTTACAGTGATGATAATAAGAAATCATTGTTACCTTTGTAGTGGGTATTATTTGAAATATTATTTTCGTTATTCAAATGTATTTTAAACAATGGCCCATGATTCAACGACCCATACTTTGCATTAGATTTTATAAAAGTTGAAATTTTCCCTGTTCATGTCTCCTTTTCAGGTAGGAAGGACCCCCCCCTTTTGGGTTTTTTTTTTTTTTTCTTGGGGGGGAAACAGGTAGTAAAGTGGATTGAAATAAACTTATTTTGATGATGACATGTGGGACACATGACGTGCATTTTAACTTGGAATAATAATCAAAATAATAAAAAATCTAACTAACTTTTCTTTAACGTGTTATTAAATTGCAATGGAATACACTTTGTTTAAATATTTTAAATGAAGAAAAAAAAATTTAGTAATTACGATACTTGTCATCTGTACTGTAACATCATTTACAGTGCGTGACGACATTCGTGGACAATTATTGAGCGCGTACGTATTTCCTGCACTCAATGTAACTACATATGACGTCACATGGTGTATGATGTGGTGTTCTGGCGCATATTAAATCAAGTTTTAATATATGTTTTTTTTTAAGAATATTTCGCAAAATTTTGTACCTTTTTTTTTTTTTTTTTTTTTTTTTAATGGAAGAGCTTTAGACTAATTACCAAAACAAATTTAAAAGGAAGAAAGGGTAGTGGGACCTCGTATCACCAATAACGTTGTTCATAATCCCAAAAAATTGCCTTCAGAAATCAAGAAAGAAGAAGGTACTCGAAGGCGGTGACATTGACGCGCTCGATGACAGTTCACAGACCTCCGACTCACGCGTCGGCGTCATGGACCCTAAAACGGGAGAGGTAAATATTATTTTATCTTTTCTTTAAATATAGGATACTAGCTGTGCCAGCGACTACGTCCGAGTAGACTACGTCCCAGACATTTTTTAAATTTAAAAGAGGAATAATTTTACCTTACATGCTTACGACCATGCTTCATTATTATAAATCATGCATTCATGCTTACGAACCAAGGACCTCTCAAGCCTAAAGCAAAGCTTGGCATTTAGCTACAGAGGCGGAACCAAAGAGACAAAGAAATTGATTTATATTAGATCTATAAACAAAGAAATAGCAACAGGAGTTGTACATTATATACATTTATTGATAAATGTGTGTATAGTGTACTAACATTTGTATAACTTTCATTTAGATACTGCGTGGTGAGGAAGCGCCCTTATTGTCGCAACTCAAAGACTGGATGGATACGCACCCTGGCTGGGAGGTGCTGTCAGACTCGGACGACTCGGGAGATGACAGCCAGGATGATGGTAAAATTAATTGAACTATTATTTTAATTCTATTAAATTATTTATCATTAAGGTATAATGTACATACACTATAACAATTCGAGATGTATAGAAACAAAACAATATACATGTAAGAAAAAAAGGTCTTGAATACGAAATATAGATAGTTATAGGAGTGTAAAGTTATAAAAGTATGACACCCACGAGCCGAATATTTCTGTGCCTGTTTCTCTTATAAAACTTCATTTATACTCAAGTAGTTATCAGATTTAAATAAAACATTTTTAACGGTTTAACTTGACTTTATCGTGACTACGGCCTGACGTTTCAAGTTAACAAATTAATTTGGCGTTTTAATCCTTTCAATTGTTTTATTTAAAAAGCTTTGGGTCCTGTCGGACTCAAACAGTTTATTGCTTGCTAGGCATATAACCATTATGCTACGGAGTTAGTCTTTTTTATTATAAAACACATATTTTATTTGCCCTATAGAGCACAGGAGCAAAAGAGACAGACATAGAGATGAAAGAAGCGATAAAGAGAAGAGTGACGAAGAGAAGGCACGGGAGATGATCAAGAAGGCGAAGGTAGAGGACGACGAGTATAAAACAGAGGAACAGACATACTACAGGTAATTTTTATCCAAGAAGAAACAAAGACTTTTAATATAAATATAAATACTAAAAATAATTTTATCAAAGATATTGGATAAACAACTGATTAGCTATTTTCAATTGTTTTTTAAATGTTTAATGTTATTTAAGAAATTAGAGTAATAAATTTAAACCGACGTGGCTCAACGGGTTAACACAACCAATCATTAAATGCGTCAAGTCTGAGATTCAAATTCGAGCGAATATGGTTTTAGTCATAGATTAGTCATATTTAGACACTGTCTATAGTTTACGCGAGTAGTACACATTTAAATAAAACACTAACGGTTTAAAACGCGATATATTAGTTAAACTTATTTGAAAATGATTTTTAACTTCGGCCCGACGTTTCGGATGCTTTGCAGCAGCCGTGGTCACGGGGAGGGTTTAAATAGTCATATTTAGTCACACAGAGAACTGATGATTACTTACTTGTAAAATTGAACAGCAACTTGAATATACCATGCCCAGTAGGTATATGGAGATTTCAAATATCATAGACGACAAGCTCGATGGTGTAATGGTAGCAATGTATGTCTAATAATCGATGGGTCCAACATTTTTCTAATAAATTTATAATTTCCTGAAAAATGTTTGATAAATGGGTGGAAGGAATATCGAATTTCCGTCTGGGCCACGAACCCGAAGTTTTCTCAGTAGACCCTTGAAAAAACCGTCAAGTTAAATGTTGTTCCGGTACAATTTGTATATTTCCGAATATCCAAAGCCAGAATGGGTCTAGAGCGCATCTAGTTTAGATGTTATACGGCTCAGGTGTTTCACCTAACACCAAGTGGACCCCATAGTTGTCTGTCCTCTCGTATTATAAAAGAAAGGTTGTAATTAGAATTCTAATTACAGTATCGCCCACACGGTTCACGAATCTGTCACGGAGCAAGCGAGCATTCTCGTTAATGGAAATCTTAAGGAATACCAAATTAAGGTAAGGAAGAACTCATTTAAATAATAAAAGTAATATATGAGGCTGTTAGAGGCAGAGTCGCTCAACTGCAGTTTTTTGACTTGAGTTATGTATTAATATCTAAAAAAGTCTATCTACAAGAGCACTGTGAATGAAAATTGTTAACATAATTTTAACACAAATAAAAGTTCATTAATTCATTTTTATTTTCCTTCTTATTGAAAATCATGTTTTTTGTTATTAGGGCACTCTGCCTCTAGCAGCCTCGTAGGTATATACTAAATGCAGAATGGAATTTTAGTGAGTTAAGCGTGAGAAGTCCTGGGTTCGTATCCCGGGGAAACAGATTGTAGATTCTGTCATTGACGTTTTATCAACTACTTGCCTGTAAAAGTACCAATCAGTAAAACGTATACAAAACGGTGTTCACTCCATTCTTCAAAGGGGGAAACGGGGTATCACAACAAAACACCAAAGAATTCACTTACCGAAATAAAGCACAAATTTATTACTTTGTATATATTCTAAATATAAGAGATTATTTTTTTATCTTACTGTTTTTTAGTATTTGAAGGAAGCATTGTAAATATTTTCTTCCTACTGAATATATATAAATATATATATATATATTTTATTTTTATTTATAAGCTAGTTTTTAAGTTTTAATATTATATATATAATAAAAAAAGTTAAATAAATAAAAATGTATTTCAGGGTCTTGAATGGTTGGTGTCGCTATTCAACAACAATCTTAACGGTATCTTGGCGGACGAGATGGGTCTGGGTAAAACCATCCAGACCATTGCGCTAGTTACATACCTGATGGAGAAGAAGAAGGTCAACGGTCCGTTCCTCATCATCGTACCGCTTAGGTAAGAAATAAGGGTAATTTATTATAAACCGTCAACGTGAAAACGTTGGGTCGTATATTTTTCAGTTATGCCTCATTAAAATCTTTTAAAAGGTTTCTCCTAAAAGCAAATTTGCCCGCCAAATGAATAAGTTTTTCTTTAATGATATCTATGGATTAATTTTACACGGAGCTTAATATAGAATATAAAGCAATAATGCTATATATAATATATCAATATTAGAATACTAAGAATTATAATAAGAATATCTATATAACAAATGATTTAAACTTTCTTTAACAGTACACTCTCCAACTGGGTGCTGGAGTTCGAGAAGTGGGCGCCAACTGTGCAAGTGGTGTCTTACAAGGGTTCGCCTCAGTCGCGTCGTCTCGTCCAGACACAGATGCGCTCTGCCAAATTCAACGTCCTTTTAACCACCTATGAATACGTTATCAAGGATAAGGGTGTACTTGCTAAGGTAAATCTAAAAAAATGCTCTTAAATTATTGTATTGTTATAAGAATGGCTTCCTCAAAAAAAAAAAGAAATTGATAAACTTTTTGGTAGTGAAATTCAATGTTGAACTTAGCAGTGTAAGAAATGATACAAAATAAACGCAAAATACTAATGTTTCAAATATATAAAGGTACAATGGAAGTACATGATAATCGACGAAGGTCACCGAATGAAGAACCACCATTGCAAGTTGACCCAAGTGCTGAACACTCACTACGTGGCCCCGCACCGCTTGCTGCTGACCGGTACACCGCTGCAAAACAAGTTGCCAGAGTTGTGGGCGTTGCTCAATTTTCTCCTACCCTCCATCTTCAAGAGCTGCTCTACGTTCGAGCAGTGGTTCAACGCGCCTTTCGCTACTACCGGAGAAAAGGTGAGTTGAGATTTATAAATAGATGAGCAGTGAATAGCATCCGTATTTAGTTTTCAAATATAGGTATTTAAGTTGCTTTTTTGTTTTCTTATCGTTATGATTATACAGGTAAATCCCTTTTTTTTTTTATGATAGAGGTATAGAGAAATACCCCAGTCATATAACATCTGAACAAGGTGAGCTGTCAAACTCGACTTGCGACACGCGACACGCGATGATACTTGACGGATTTTTCATCTATCATCCGATATATGGTCGATATATCGAATTGTTATTTGATATCCAGACTTCCAGATGTAGTCCATGATCACGACCCGTTGATAATTAGCCGTTCATTGCTACCATTAGACCAACGAGCCGTCGTGTGCTATACTTTCTTCAACATAAAGATGGGTATAGAGGTCAGAACCTAATCTTTAAATCTTTTTAATTTTTTTTTTCAAGTCTACACAAAAGAAGTAGTGATTAAGAGCTCCTCTTTATAAATGCATTCTGTAAACCTATTTCCACATGTTGTCAGGTGGAACTTAACGAGGAAGAGACGATTCTTATCATCCGTCGTTTGCACAAAGTATTGCGTCCCTTCCTGTTAAGGCGTCTCAAGAAGGAGGTGGAAAGTCAGCTTCCAGATAAGGTCGAATACATCATTAAGTGTGATATGAGCGCCCTTCAAAGAGTTTTATACAAGTGAGTCACACCTTAACATATTTTTAGGCTAGCATTATAAATATAATATAATTAATTAAGGCGATACAAATTAATAAAAATAATAATTCATCATATATATAAAATCGGTGATAGTATAGTTTGTTGTAAGCCATTGATCTATATATATAAAATAAAAATATCAAAGTAATAAACATTTTTAAGCGATTCACGTAATATAGCCTAATTTGATGCAAATTAAATACTGTCTATAGTTTACGCGAGTAGTACACATTTAAATAAAACACTTTAACGGTTTAAAACGCGTCTCCCCGTGACCACGGCTGCTGCAAAGCATCCGAAACGTCGGGCCGAAGTTAAAAATCATTTTCAAATAAATTTAACTAATATATCGCGTTTTAAACCGTTAAAGTGTTTTATTTAAATTGATGAAATTGATAAAAATCACAATTTAGGTCGTGGATTTACACATTTTTATACGCATACACATTTTGTATGGAATTTGAATATTTGATTTATTTTTTTAGACACATGCAGTCAAAAGGTGTTCTGCTTACTGATGGCTCAGAGAAGGGAGGTACCAAGGGTAAGGGTGGCGCTAAGGCGTTGATGAACACCATCGTGCAGCTCAGAAAGCTATGCAACCATCCGTTCATGTTTCCACACATCGAGGAGAAGTTCTGCGACCATGTAGGGGGTGGTGGTGGTGTCGTCTCTGGGTAAGTTCTGTTCCAATTGAAATCAAATCAAATTTCGTTTATAATTATTGAATTATAATATAATTATGCTTTACAGCCCTGACCTTTACCGAGTATCTGGTAAATTTGAACTTTTGGACCGCATCCTACCGAAACTAAAGCAAACTGGGCACAGGGTGCTGGTCTTCTGTCAAATGACGCAATGCATGACGATCATTGAAGACTATCTCTCGTGGAGAGGCTTCCAATACTTACGGTGAGCACCTTCAGTTTTCAAGAACTATACAATTATTCACATTTATTGCGTTTTGTTTGGGAAAGTGTAATTTTATAGCGTTTTTATTTTGTATTAATTAAATTAGTAGTACATAGTTATAGTGTTAATAAATTGCTCTGAGTTATGTCTACTGTTTTCGCGAGTAATGCACAATCAAAAATTGACTTAAGTCGTATTAACCGTTAAAAGTGTTTTATTTAAATTGCTCTAAGGTAAGTCGGTAAAACAAGCGCAAAGGTTTTAGAATTTTTGGGTATTAGGATCTTCATAAAGACAGATAAATTAATTAATGTTTATTTTCAGTAATTCATTCTTTGTTATGAACGTCCCGTTTTTATAAAATTGTTTTACGTTTTACTATTATTATTATATGATTGTCACTCAAATACGTTGGCACCATTCTTTTCAAGATCTTATGTATAATGTACAAGGAAAATAAATGTTATAAGCCGTCTCTGCTCTACCTCACCAACGTCTTAAAAACGGGCTTTGCAATTTTTCCTTTTATTTTTAGATTGGACGGTATGACAAAGGCCGAGGACCGTGGGGAACTGCTGAAGAAATTCAACGACGTCGACTCGGAGTACTTCCTTTTCTTACTGTCGACGCGCGCTGGCGGTCTAGGTCTCAATTTGCAGAGCGCTGACACAGTCATCATATTTGACTCCGACTGGAATCCGCATCAGGTGAGTTCACATAGAGGCATTACATTTTTGTTCACCCGCTATCTAAGAACTAAAACTATTTTTTCAATTCCGCGATGCTCATTGTATCCCGGAAATCTGTTTTTGGAATCCTCTACATCTTTATAAATGTAAGCTCCCAATGACATCGGTCGCGCCACATCGTTCTTGCAAGTTAATCTTAAAAGACGACACTATAGTGTCACAGACATTGTTTTTTTTGTCATTTAAAGAGATATTATATTTTTTTGGATACTTTTAACTATTGTGAAACTCACAAAGATAAATAATTAACCCATTTTTGTTTCACATTTCCCGCTGTTTCTTCGATTCTATTAACGCGTTCAAAACAAAACAAACTCTTAAGCTTTATTTATTAGCACAGATCCCATTGTATTTATATTTTTAAAACAGGACCTGCAAGCTCAAGATCGTGCTCATCGTATCGGTCAACGAAACGAGGTCCGCGTGCTCCGTTTGATGACCGTTAACTCTGTGGAAGAAAGAATTTTGGCAGCAGCCAGGTAAATTAGCATCATGAACCAATATGTGATGGTTATTCTAGCACCGGCGTTGTCTCCCATTTTTTTTTAATTTTGGAAAGCACGTATTAAACTACTAACGAACGGGGACTCGATTTCTCGAACTGTGCTGGACCGACAAAGTTTTTATAAATAATCTTAAAAACCATTACTTTGTTAATTTCTATAACCAATACAGAAAGGCTATAATGAAGTTAAGTTATATTGACTGTTAAACGTTTTACCCTCAATATCTTTTATAGATACAAATTAAACATGGACGAAAAAGTAATTCAAGCTGGAATGTTTGATCAAAAGTCGACTGGATCGGAACGGCAGCAGTTTTTGCAGAGTATTCTTCACCAGGACGGCGATGACGAAGAGGTAAACTGATAGTAATTCACTCTATCATTTTTATAGGGAACTGTAATTATAGGGAAGGGTAATTATATATTAACAATTCCATTTTAGGAAGAAAACGAGTTGCCAGACGATGACCTAATAAACGAGATGATAGCGCGTTCCGAAGAAGAATTAGAGATCTTCAAGCAAATAGACATAGAGCGCAAGAAACAAGAGACACATTCGCGTCTTATAGATGAGTCTGAGTTACCAGATTGGCTGGTTAAGAATGACGATGAGGTCGTTTGCAATAAGGTAGGACTGAGATTTTCGTTATCTAATTAACTATTTAAGCTTTTAATAACACTGAATTGAGCCTAAATGGAGTACTGATGAGCAAATTGTACTAGTTAGTCCTTCAAGCCGGGTAAAGCATAATTTGTTTTTAGTACATTTCACATAAAACTTTCTACCTATTTTGCGTGCACAATATTTTTTATCTTATTGAGGGACTTTCTAAGTACAGAATTTAAATAACAATATAGGGTCAAGGCTGGAGTTATTTGGAGGAAGATGAAACTCTCGGGCGTGGTTCTAGACAGCGCAAGGAGGTAGACTACACCGATTCTCTAACTGAGAAGGAGTGGCTTAAAGCAATAGATGACGAGTTTGAAGAAGAGGAAGAAGAAGATGACGATGACGAAGTGCTAGATAAGAAGAGGAAAAAAGGACGGAAGAGACGGTAGTGTTTAATTCACTATTATTAAGCCTCCGGGATTGCATTATTTTCAAAGTTATATTACAATATGTTATAATTTCGTTCGCTTATTCCTTTCTTTGATGATTAATTTATTAAATACTTTTTTCTGTACTAGTGACTAAAATACTCGTCGCAAAATCTATTATCATAATTAAATAACACTGATCTATAAATATGTATATAGCCGCAACCAAGAAGACTCAGAGGAAGACGAGGCGCCCTGTTCCACAAAGAAGAAAAGTAAAACTGAAATCAATCAGCTAAAGAGACGACTAAAGAACATTATGAAGAAAGTTATTGACCACACTGATGAGTAAGCATTTTATTTATCTATATTTTTTAGATATTAAAAAATAGATGTCGGGTCGTAGTTAGAATAAGTTTAACGTTTATATTTCACATTTTAAAATGTGTACTGGCGTAAGTTACAAACAATATCTTTGTATATATAAATCTCGTGTTTGTCCGCTATTGACTCCTAAACTACTGAACCGATTTTAAATTAAATTGGCACATCGTGAGAAGTCTGGTCCTACTTGAGACAAAGGATAGTTTAGATCTTTAATTATAGACGCAATTTTATTTTATTGCAAATTATTTGTCTATAAATAATTGACAGTTACAATGGATTGAGTAAGTAATCAATAGATGGCACTGCTCTGGTAAACCGACAAACGTGTCATATAAGCTACAATTCAATAGACTGATGTTCTCCTACTGTTCCTCTTAAATTGTATACCACAATGCAATAAAACAATAACTTCAGCCACAGCAACGCGTGGCCGGGTCTGCTAGTTTATTATAAATTAATCAATATTCCATAGAAGTACATTTAATGGCACTGCATTACTTCATTCTGCATATATGTTTCAATGTGCTATTTTAATCATACCTATAAAACGCGTACGGCGTAATATTAGTAATTCTTCTGTAAATAATATTCTATGTATGTTTTTACTTTTGTTGTTACTCTTCCGTTTGACCGCCTCACATTGGCATCAAATTCGTACTTTTTATGATAGAAGCACAAGCGAACACCAAGCTTTACTGTCCTGTAAAGCTTGGTGTTCGCTTGATGGTATGTGAAATACCTCAGCCATATAACGTCAAAACAAGATGTGCTGTTGACCATTGGCATTGGATATTCGTAAATCCATGGACTTCAACCGACTCTGTGGACGGTGATTCGTGACTCGGGCGGAATATTGATATTCGTACTCACCTTTTAATATCCAGATTTCCAGTCAAAGTCCAACATGTTTCATTACACTAACGAGCCCGCCAAATTCTATTTACAAGTGTGAGTCAATATTCCTTAATATTCACATCACAGGAACGCCCGCGTGTTGTCCGAACCATTTATGAAACTACCATCCCGAAGAGAGCTGCCAGACTACTATGACGTTATCAAGAAACCGCTTGACATTAAAAAGATTAACAACAGGATTGAGGACGGAAAGGTAGATAAGATTTTCTTACTCTTGAATAAAAACTAACGAATCTTGATATAATTCAATAGCTCGTGTTGAACGACTAATATCTAGATTATATAACCAATTTTAAACTAATTATTTGCACCGCCTTTGCTCTTACTCTTTTATGTAAATAATTAATGTAGTATTAATATATTTGTATTTTATGTGTTTGTGCAATACAGTGTTTTATTATTATTTTACAGTACAACGACATATCTGACTTAGAAAGGGATTTCTTTACGCTATGCGCGAACGCCCAGACGTACAACGAAGAATCGTCGCTAATCTACGCGGACTCGGTGCGCCTGCGCAACGTATTCATCGATATACGTCGTAAATATGAGAGCGGACAAAACTCAGACGATTCAGATGATAATGAAAAAGGTTGAATTTATTTAAATATTTTACAACGTTAACAGGTTGTTGTTTTCTTGTTCCAGTAGCGCAAAATAATCTTTACTAAGGTGGTATGTACTCTATATTTAATATCTCTCGGTTTCAGACGAAGAAGACTCCGACGGCGAAGATAACCGTTCCGTCAAAATGAAGATAAAGCTTGGAAAAGGCAAAAGTAAGAGTGCCCCCAAAAAGCGTAAACAGCGCAAGTATATTTCGGATGACGAGGACTATGAAGAAGATTAGATTTAAGGTTATTTCTGAGGGTAGATTTAGATTTTACATTTCTCATTCTTTAGCAACTTGACTATGGTATATGATGAAATAACTTTAGGCGGTAAGAATAACAATGTTAAGAGTATGAACTGTTCTGTTTCGGCGTTTAATTTGTTTACAATTGAATTTCAGCCGTGTCTTGTATTAAAAAAAATTCCGACGAAATGTATATGGTATTATACAAAAATGTTTTAAATATTGACAGCTTTTTAGTACTTGACTAATCCATTTTAAAATTTATAAAAATAATTATATTTAACTGACGTTGAAAAACTTTATCTTTATAAAAACACTGGAAATTATTTTCAATCTCTAATATATATATTTTGATTATAATTGCTTGATATGTTAAATAAATAGAATTTACCAACAAATATATTTTTTATTATTGATAAAAAAAGTTAGTATAAGGTATTTCAACACTATTTTAGGTTTAAAAAAAATACTTTAACGATTTGAAACATGAAATATATTAGTTACACTCGCATACAAATTATTTTTAACTATGACTCGACGTTTCGGATGCTTTAGAGCAGCAGCAGTCTCCCCAAGTCCACGACTAAGATAATAACGATAACAAACTAAACTAATATATATCGCATTTAAAACCGTCAAAGTGTTTTATTTAAATGTGTACTGCTCGCGCAAACTACGGACATTGTTTATTCTAGGTTTTGTCCACTTGGCATCTGCCCATTTGTATTTGACATTGTGAATGGTGAGCATATGTTTGTTTACGCCAGTGCTGTACCGGAATCCTTGGAGGCACACGGGGCAGTTATACGGTTTTTCACCGGTGTGGACGCGCTGGTGTCGCTCTACGTCGCTACGGGAGAAGAACATGTCACTACATACGTCACATTTGTATGACTTATCTCCAGTGTGCCTATAAATAAAAAGAAAATAGTCATATCAGATCTTATATTATATATGATATACAATAAATTACTAAACAAGTAAACATTTTAAAATAAAACACTAACGGTTTGAAACGCGATATATATTAGTCAAACTTATTTGAAAATTATTGTAACTACGACTACCCGTGACCACGGCTGCCGCAAAGCATCCGAAACGCCGTGCCGTAGTTTAAATAAATTTCAAATAAGTTTAACTAATATACATCGCGTTTAAAACCATTAGAGTATTTTATTTAAATATGTACTACTCGCGTAAACTACAGACAGTATTGCCGTTCTTACCTTTTAAGATGAATAATTAAATTCTTCTTCGCATGAGTCTTATATCCACACAAGTGACACTCGACGAACTTATTCTTATGTTTCTTTTGATGGTTCAGTAATTCTGAAGATGTGACAAAAGTGTCTCCACAATCTTCACAGTTGTAATTTCTTACATTGTTATGCCTGTGTATATGATCCTCCAAGGATTTTTGGGTCTTCAATTTTTTCTGGCAAATAGTACAGGTGAACTGAGCAGTTTCATGAACGCTAGAGTGTTTCTTGAGACTAAAAGAATGCTTGAATTGTCTTCCGCACACGGGACATATGAAGCATGCAGTAGCACTATGTGTTTTTCTATGAGCACTGAGACTCGATGATTGTGTGAACGATTTGCCACATTCACAATGGAATGGTCTTTCTCCATTATGTCGTCGTATGTGATTCACCAATGTTTGACTGTGTGGAGTACTAAAGGTGCATCTTGTACATTGGTAACGCCTATTGCCACCAACTCCTGTAATCAGCGTTAGATGACCTGCTCTCTCATGCTTAAGCATGTGTAGTTCAAGTAATTGGTCACTTTCAAATTTTTCATTACATGTCATACATTCTCTTAGATTATTGTCTATCTCTGAAAAGAGAAAAAGTGAATAGAGGGAGAGTAATTATAGAAATATATTTATGGTACTTGTAATCTTATTCACTTTATACATACCCAATTGTTCTTGTTTAATTTCTAATAAGGGATCAATGCTGTCAATTACAATCTTGATAAAGTCCTCTGATTGATCAATAGGCTTGGCTTCTTTGGTGTTCAAAAATTCCAAGAACCTTTCATTAAATGTGACGCACTTCTGTCTAAAAGCTTCCACAACTTCCAATTCTTTTACACAACCACTACATATAATTGAGGGCAAGTACGTATCTTTGCATAATTCTACTTGAAAACATTCAAATATGGTCTTCAGTATTTCCTTAGATTTGATATCTTCTTCAAATAAATTTATAGTATTGTCGTCACAGTTTAAACAAATTCTACAAACATTGTTTAGATTAACATTATGTTTTTCTCTCATTTCATCTGAAAAAAAAAGAAAGATAAGCAGTATGAGAAATAAAAAGTTATTTTTTTTACTAAATCAAAACATTTGGTAATAATTTGATGTAAAATGTATGTATGGAAGTATCGCTGTTAAATTAAAAAAATATGTAACATACTAATAGAAAGAATGGCTCCCTGTGTAAATGTATAATATTGTAAGTATAGGTGAAGCATAATACATAATTAAAAATAACCATGAAGTCAGCATTTTAAAGTCTTTTACCTTCCGAGCCCAGTTGTCTCAAACACAAAATAGCCTAACAATGAGACATTTTTCAGATTATATGTTAAATACTGTCTATAGTTTACGCGAGTAGTACACATTTAAATAAAAGACTTTAACGGTTTAAAACGCGATATATTAGTTAAACTTATTTGAAAATTATTTTTAACTTCGGCCCGACGTTTCGGATGCTTTGCAGCAGCCGTGGTCACGGGGAGACCTCCCCGTGACCACGGCTGACTTACTACTATATCGCGTTACTAATTTTAACTAATATATCGCGTTTTAAACCGTTAAAGTGTTTTTTATTTAAAAGATTATATGTTATTAAACTAATGAAACTACTGCAAATACACTGAGTAAAATTTCATGCTAACATGAATAAAATTCCTTTACGCAAATATTAAAATGATTTATGTCCTTCATTTATCCATTGTTGTTGAAATTCTGTATTTTATTTCTAGTTATTAACAATTAATTTCTTGCCCATACCATTAAATCCACTTGGTATATTAGGATGCATCTGCTTTCTTGATGGTTTCATGTTTTTAAAATTGAGTTTTTTTAATATTTTGTAAACTGTTGATCGAGAAAATGAGGGCAGACTATCATCATTGTTAATAGCATGTGTAATTTGATCAAGGGTTGGATGCTCCTTATTCAAGTAAAATTCATTGACCTTTCTCCTTATTGCCGATAGTATAAAATCGTCTAGAGTCCCAACGATATCATATTTAGGCTTGCTTCGGTTTGGGGTCGTTACTTTTCCTGTAACTTTATATTCGTGAATAATGCGCTGGACAGTTCTAAACGAGGTTCCAATTATTTCTGCTGTTTTTTGAATATTCTCTCCTTTACTAGGACCATAACACTCTGAAGACCTCGTAAGATGTCTATATACGTTTAAAGTTATAGATTTTTCATTGGCAGTCATGTCAGCCCTGGGCCTCTTTGTTAATGGAGATATTTCTAGTGAGTCTCTATGATTTTCATTTCTCGGCTTCGATGATCCAGGAATATTTTCAGTACTGATCATACTGAAATATAAATGTAAGAAACTTTAATTTTAAGAATTATTTTTTCATTTATTGCTTTTTTACTTACCTACCTCGAGTTATTAAAGACACCGAACAAAATCGTTTGTAAAACTATTATTTTTATAAAATTTGTAACATCCAAAGGTAAGCGAAGTTTCAAAAAACACCGATTAACCCGTAACGTATGAAAATCAAGAAGTTAGAAATGAACGAAGAGACAACGTTGTAACTATAGTGTAATTTTTCTAACTTGGCAAAAGACTACTACGAATATGGTCGGTTTCAAACCACAGAGAACTAGTGAATTAGTGATGATCTTTTATACAGTAAAATTGTTGCCACAGATGACAGAGAGATAAAGATATATCAATTACATATATTATATGGACTAAAGGACGACAATACAGATTTAAAACCTTAAATTTACAATCACTTTTATGACGACATAGTAATAAAAGTTATATTATTATTTAACTTGACCTTTGTAACGCTTTTCAGCGATGATGCACGAATGGGACTTCTACCTTGTAGAGTTTAAGTGTATTTAGGTTTTAAAACCTGGGCTTTACTTCGAAGTACGAAGCCCTAGTATGAGAAAAAAATACTTGCAAGTATGAAAGTATAACTTTATAAATAAAACACTTTAACGGTTTAAAACGCGATATATTAGTTAAACGGTCGTTAAAAGCCGTGGTCACGGGCCCGTGACCACGGCTGCTGCAAAGCATCCGAAACGTCGGGCCGAAGTTAAAAATCATTTTCAAATAAGTTTAACTAATATATCGCGTTTTAAACCGTTAAAGTGTTTTATTTAAATGTGTACTACTCGCGTAAACTATAGACAGTATTTAACATATAATCTGAAAAATGTCTCATTGTTAGGCTGAAAATACTTGCATAGGATAATGATCCATAAATGAATAAAACATAATTTCGAGAATAAATGGCTTTTGGATCCTCGATTACTGTTTCGTTTTTACAGCAAGCAACAAAATGATATCTTTTCAGGATTTTCTAATGTGCCGTCTTCGTTTAACTAGCCTAAGCTCTTCCTTGTCAAATACTTCAGTACTTCCAGAGATTAGCACGTTCAAACAAACGAACTCTTCAGCTTTATTAATTTATTTTTTATATTGCTTTATTAATTAATACAGATAACGGTAATACTAATAATTCTAACGCCTTCTAATTCTAAGTAACCTTCTAACCTCTATTTGTTTATATAGGAAATATATAAATACAAACTACACAATATTATTATAATCATTTTAATCTTCAAAGTAAGTACTACTTTGAAGATAACAATCAGTATACGCCTTTAGTCTTTACAGCAATACATTGTACTGACACATGGATCTAATCTCTCTATAGCTTCATCCACTACTATCACATGCGTTTGTTGGTTGTATTTAGACATTTCGGCACAACAGATTAATAGAGCCTCCCAGAACCTACGTCAAATCCCCTAAATATCGATTAATTAACCCTTAACATTTTATATAAACTAATTATGATCTAGTAGTGTAAAATAGCTACGTATTTTTGGCTGCATTTAATGTTTACTTAAAGCAATGCCTAGGTAACATTGTATATACGATTAAGTAAGTTTTTATTTTAGATAGGTACATTATATTTGTTTTGTGTTTTCTATTTAAAAACGAGATAGTAGTAGAAATGTATGTAAATAATACTTTTAGCAGAGAAAATGGAAATATAGTATGCCAAGTGAGCTTCTTAAACTCCTGCATATATTTGGTTTTGTGTTCACACAGTACTTGTTGCAGTCTTTAATTGTAACATTTAAATATTCTTGTACCAAAAGTTTCGAAATAAAAATCATTTAAGTATGTATGAATATGGCTTTATTCTTTAATAAGGCCCACTTCAAGCATCAGCTTGAGCTTGAAGTCTCTTTATGTAAGACTCCTTCTTTTGTTTGACTCTGTTCTTTCTCTCAGCCAATGTCAGCTTACGCTTGGTCCAGCGTTTCTTCTTAGCTGGGTCTTTCTTGGCTTCCTTCTTCTTGTAAGATGGATCAGCACGGATTGCTTCGTGGGCTTTTTTGTATAAACCTTCAACCTATTAAAAAGTTTTGTTAATTAGAATTTTAATTAAAATTGAAGTGATAAGTTGAGAATAATTATAGTTGGCATGTAGCAAGACATAATTGATAATCTCTTCAAAGCATTCAGAGTTAACTTTCACATTACATTATGCAAAATTATTTTGTCCAAATACGACACTGCTATAATAGAAAATTATGCAGTAATTTGGTTGGACGTACATAAGATTATATACAACAAATTATTTTTTACTTTCACTATCAAACAAAGTTTATGGTAAAAAAGAGAAATACTCACAGCATCAGATGCAACACCAAGTTTTATGTATTTGCCAAATTGTCTCTTAAAGGAATCTTCGTCTTCTTGTTCCAAATTACGCATGTATTCTGCTACATGAAGACCGAAGATGTGTGCTCTAAAATAAGTTGCAAATATAAATATATTGATTAGGGCTAACATTATATATTATCACTTTCTTTTGGGGACACTAATAAAAGGCTGGTCAATCAATCCACACCATTTCTAATATTATTATTATTGAGAAATATATTCTAGGACAATGTAATTAAGACCGGTTTAAAAAATTATAATACATGAAATTTTTATGACAACCAAAAGTCCTAATAATCATACTATAGCTCTTCTACGCTGTTTGAAAAAAAGAGTGTACTTCTTTCCAAAGGATGATTAGAGCAATAATATAAAATTGGAGAGTAGTCAGTTATTTATCTTACCTATGAACCTCAGCATTGAATTTCTTTGCTTCAGCATCATAACCAGGGAACCTCTTCAGAGAGTGTGGAACGTTAAGGCCACCATCAACTGCACCCTTCATTGCTCCAAAAACTCTAGCTCCTGTTGTAGTTCTTGCCAGACCAACATCCAAGTAACATCTACAAGATTACTAATACTTTTACACAGGTGAAAGCACTATAGCTAATACTGTAAGCAGTCTGACAAACAATTGCATAACATAGTAAGTAAATATTACAAGCAGTATTATAAGAAATTACCTAAATGCTCCTGGTCCATTGTCTACTGGCTCTACATTGTATTCGTCACCAGTGACTTCAGTTGCTCCAGTATACAATGTGTCAAGACCTAGTCTTTGTAAAAGACGTCTCGCCAGTAATAAGCCTGTGCAGTATGCAGCTGCATAGTTGGTCAAACCTACCTATAAAAATACTTAAGTTAGCAGCTTGTATATAGCAACATTCTTATATACTTGAAATCAAGAGTAAATCAGTATTGAACATATAACAACATGGTGTTTTGCATTTGTACATTGCTTCAGACCGCCCGTTCAAATTCATCATCGTAAATTTGAGTTATATATATTATATGAATAAAGATCTTACCTTGATACCATAACGAGGTAACTCATGGGAGTAAGCAGCGCAGACAATATGGTCTCCCTCAATTCGAGAGTATGCTACTTGACAAGTAACATCTTTGTTGGATAGACGTACGATGAGACGGTACTTGGGAGTGTTGTACTTGTTCTTGTCCTGAAGTAAAATACAATAGTAAGATTTTGCAGCTGTAGCAATTTACAGTTAGTAATTAAGTAAATACCTGAACAACGAGACGTTTGCGGGCATAGTAATCAGTTTTACCTTCACGGCGCCTCTTAAACTTAACTTGGTAACGCTTGAAGTATTGCTTGTTCTTGACGACTTTAACGAAGCCCTAAAATACAACAGACAGTGTTAAAAATTATAATAAACCTGTTTCTTTGATTTGATTGAAGAGTAAGGTTTATCAGAGACACTTTATAATCATTACTGTTATTAGCAAGCACAAATAGTAGTAAAAGAACACATAAAACATGCGTTCCCAAACACGATTTGGCCGTAAAATAACATCAGATGACGCGCATGTGTCGATATCTCATCATGGAAAATAAGTAAACTTAAAATAATTAAATGAACTTTCAATACCTAATAGCAACGTTAGGTCGGTAACTTATATAGATCTTATGAACGCTAATGATAAAGTACAGCGACATGTCACAATGTAACCTAATCACAATTTATTACGGGAATCACACACACAAATTGAATAATAGTATTGAAAGCTAGATTTATTGAAATAACAAATACTTTATACAAAATAATTTATATATGAAAGCTTACCATTTTTAATAACTAAACGCAACTAAAGCACTCCGGCTTCCACGGAGGCTAACCATAAAAAAGAAAGTTCATCTGACACTTGACTACCAATCAATACTTTGCAATGTTCAGATTTCACAGAGTCACTTGCTAGTGATGTTTATTATAGATTATAAATATAATGACAGCGTTAAAATTTATTTATCTCTCTGTTTTTTAATATCAATTGATAAAGACTTAAATAAACTTACTTGAAATAAATAGTTTATAACTTTTTATGAATATTCATTTATATATTTCGTGCTAGAGTTGCTACGCTTTGCGTAAATCGATACTTTCTAAAATATTGTCTATTAACCATTTCCTTTTATCTATGATTCGTTATGGCTTCCTTTTATTCATATCCTGAATTATTTTTGGCGGGTTTTATATTTACCTTGCCGTTTTTGTATGAAAAAAGCAATGTGTTTCGATATTACTTAAAGTTTTTTCTATATTACGCTTATGTTTTGATCACGTGTACGGTGCTACTGCCAGTAGTTCTTCTTTATCCACGCGATGTAACAAATCTAGTGTAAGTTATTGATTATTTATAAATGAATTGCCTGACGTTTGTCACTCTTAATAATAAATTTGTTTCAGAGTTGCTTCCAGGTTTTGTCGATATGCTTCGCATATCGTAGGTATAGAGTGGGAATTACGCGGACTTGAGCATTGGGATAATGAGCAATGTTATATTGTTATTTCCAATCATCAGAGTTCTCTAGATATACTCGGTAATTTAATTAGTAATATGGTTATTGTTATGTTTATGTAAATATTAATTTGTACAAACTATTTCAGGGATGTTTGAAATGTGGCCAAAAATGAAAAGGTGCACTGTAGTTGCAAAGCGGCCGTTGATGTTTGCTGGAGCGTTCGGCTTTGGGGCCTGGTTATCCGGACTCGTATTTATTGATCGTCTTAAAACTGACAAAGCTAGGCTGTTAATGAAAGAAGCAACCGAAAAAGTAATAGCTGAGAAGGTAAATAGCTCATTTTCGATATAAGCAAAAAAAAGTATTGCCATATGTAAAGGGTTATATTATTTCACAGACGAAATTGTGGGTATTTCCTGAAGGCGCAAGGTATAACAAGGGATATATACAACCCTTTAAAAAAGGGGCGTTCTACCTAGCTATAGATGCCCAAATACCAATAATGCCTGTTGTATTTAGTCAATATTATTTTCTCGATAATGATACTAAAACTTTTGAACCAGGTGAGTTATAAATACTTAATTGAAATATGAACAAAATAGTTTATTAAATACTGTCTATAGTTTACGCGAGTAGGACACATTTAAATAAAACACATTAACGGTTTAAAACGCGATATATTAGTTAAACTTATTTGAAAATGATTTTTAACTTCGGCCCGTCGTTTCGGATGCTTTGCAGCAGCCGTGGTCATGGGGAGATGCAAACAATAGTTTATTTTTAGGGTATGGTTACGTTATTCGAGTGTTTTGTTTATCCTAGATATGAATGATAATTTATTGTTACTAATCGGCATATTATTGTTTATACTTTGAGAAGTTCATTTTCGAAAATGGCTCTAGACAAAAATGATAGTTGATAGATAAAACAGAAGAGTTTAATTATTTTATGTTAGCCACTTTCGTTACTCGTTTTGGTGTATTAAGCCTCGTAATCTGTCTACTGATGGCGATTATCAGGGCCGTCATGCCCCTTCAAACCTTGAATCTGTATCTTATCCTTTAAGCGCGCTAAAAACTTCTTGTGAATCACCATATTACGTTATACAATGCCCATGGATCCTAAACCTATTTATTATCTAGTAGGCTAATTGTTTCCTATATTTTTATTTCTACCTTTATTTTTAATAATATGAATGATGAAATAAATAAACATGCATTATCGTTAGGTAAAGTTGTAATCACCACCTTACCACCGATACCTACCAAAGGAATGACCCGAAATGACTTGGACAGCCTTTCCGACATGGCGCGCCAGCAGATGATAGAAGTATTCAACGAGAGCTCGAAAGATCTCGTCAGGCAGAGTAAAATAGCAATTTAAACATTTTCAATGTTTATTCTTGTTAATAACGCTTTACTTTCGACTAGTCATAGGTTAAGACAATTGTTTTGTGATAATAATTAAAATGTTTAACATCAGTAGGTATATTATACTTTCAGAGAATAATTTGGAAAACTATACATTTGGCTTATAACATAAACAGTAAAGTGCTTTGGCTAATGGCTGTGTGTTTTGTAAGGCTATATAGATACATTTTCATTAAGTCTGGTTGTGAGACAGTGTGCTTGTTATTTTCGATAATTGGTATAAAATTATTTTATAGCATATATATTATAATGGACTGTAATAAATAATCTACCTTATACCTACTTACATTGAGCAGAAGGACAACCATACAACAAAAACTTGTAAAGTTTTACATACTATGATCTCATTAAATTATTATCAAGAATAAATAATTAAACATATTATTTACCCATGCTGATTGTATTTTAATCTCACGTAAGTTACGACAAGAGTGTACTATTCTTGTTCTTAGTTTTACCTTTTTTTTCTTAGTATTGTTTTAATAAATAAGTCCCAATTTTATTTTGATGTTGAATAAACTAGTATATAAATGTCAGTTTATTTACATTCAATCATTCCAATTATCCTCCCAGCCCTGATTTTCATCATCTTCATTGCTTGGTACAAAATTCAGTTTACTTATACTACTTTTCTCTTTATCGTCTACAATTGCTACCTTTTGTTTTTCAATAACAGGTGTCATGTCTGCAAAATAGTCGAACTCCTCTGTCTTTTTATTCTGATCTATCTTATGCTTTATGTCCAATTCAGATATGTCAATTATATTCTTTTTTGCTTCTAGTGCAGCTTTTTGGAAAAGGATGGAATGTGATTTTGTTTGGTTATCATCAGTGTATACATTTAAATTTGTATTTGCCATTTGATTCTGCTTTGTATTTTCTTGCTTGTCTTCAATGTTTGTTTTAAAACTTTCTGCATTCTCTAATGATATGGTTAACTTTTGATTACTATTATCCCAGTCGTCCCAATCATCTTCGGAATTACTACCTTTGTATTTAGAATTTACTGGCAAATCTTCTACTTGAGTAGATTCACCCCCAACAGGTGAAGGCCTTTCATTGAGCGATAATGTGTGATCAAACATAGGTGAATTTATATCACTAAGATAAGTAGATTCAGAACAATAAAAGTCTTGTAGGCACGAGTTTTGTTCGTGGGTTTCTTGAACACGCTCTAAACTTGAATTTTGAGCTTTAGAATTATTGGAATTAGGTCTACCATCAGTGAAAAGTTTTGAACGTTTACCTCCTACCACTGTATCCGCACCTAAGATTGGAACCAGTTCACTTAAACATATAAGGGTTCCAGAAACGAGTGCGTCATCAATATCCTTAATACCCAGTAGTAACTACAACAAAAGATTATAAAACATAATTCAAAGTGTCCTTTTTCTTTTAATATTTACGACATTGTTTGTATTGTACCTCTGGTAATACTTGATGCGCTAACTCCTCATGTGAGAACACGTGAACAAATTTTGAAAAATGCCTCAATAACAACATTCTGATTTGACTATCACGTACTGAAAACAACTGTATTAGTCTTGGCTTTAAATAATCCTTAAAAACACTAATACTAAAAAATCCATTTTGTTCTTCATTATGTGGTCTATCTGAAAAAAAAAAAGACGGAAATCGCATTACTATGAAATATATAGAAAATTAGAATGTATAAATCAAAATAAATAGTCTTCCTACCATTCCTTGGCTTTAAAATGTATGGTATTACATCTTTCCTGGCCGTCTGGTCTAACAGTGTTAAACGTGATAAAAGCAACCCACCAAATTGCTTCGCTACTGTTTCCTCATCATAAGCTTTAAGACATTGCAAAATATTAGAGAAAAACTCTGTCTTCTCTTCACATCCTTTTAAGGGCAGGAAACTTAAGAATTTGTACATTGTAATAAATTCATGATTAAAAAAGGCATGTTGAAGTACTTCTGAAAGGCTAGGTCTTTTCCTACTATCCGAATTTTGGAGAAAATCTCTACAGAACTTTTTAAATTCATGTAGGTGTGGAACTTCATCTGTAACCCAATAATTATTATGAATTGTTTATAAAAGACTATTATTATCTTAATTAATTATTATTTACATACCATCTTGACATCCCTTGAAAACATCTTCTACCAATACTGCATAAGCATAGTGATCAACTTTAGATGTTAGTGGAATAGAATCTTCATTAGGATCAACTGCTTTATCATACCTAAATTATTTAAAATTATAACACTGAACAAGAAGGAACTCAATTTCATTAATTATCATACTAAAAATGTGCCTCTTAAGTAGACATTGACATAATATGCTCTGAGAGCAGATATTAATGTTAGGCTTACCTATGAATTCTCGCCTGTTTAAGATATGCTAGTGTCAATTCAGAAAAATTACATAGATATTGTAAACCACCTAATTTCCATTGTCCATCTCCCGACACATATATAGAGGATATACTTATATTATTGTGAGACACACCACCCTGAAATTGATAACCTAGAATTTAATTCATCTTTATCATGTGTCATCTATATCAACCTATTAGAGTCTTTGGCTATTCAAAATTGAATGGTTTCACAATTGCTAGAGAGTGAAGATTTCTTGTCTTTTGAATTTTCATGTTCGAAGTCATTTATTCTTAAGAACTGATTAAATATTACCACCGAATACAAAAAAAATTTTTAGTTCAGTGCTTTACTTGTCAGAATTTAGGCTAAATAAGCAAAATATTTTTGTACATCCTCATCAAGGTTAAAAACCTGAGAAAAGGCAATGAAAATTCTCAATATCTCTTTTAGATATATTGCATTCTTGAGAATTACTTACTTGTTCATGTAAGAAAACCAAGGCCTGTAAAACATTATTTAGTCCAATACACTTTTGTAGAGGAGTTTGTGTTGATAACACATGTGATAAAGGTAGTACATATTCTGTTGCTAAATGGAATGTAGATCTTTGCTGCCAAGCAGATAAATATCTAACAATAAATGGATGCCGGTACTTAAGAATGTTCTGCAAGCAAACATTTCAATCATTTAGAAAAACAACATCTTATTTACATATACCTATTTCATGTCAGGGTTACACTCCGAGGTGTGTCACATTACACTCACATTACAAAATTTTTCTAAAGGTGTAGAAACAGTCCATAATGGACCCATGATAGTCTCTCCCTTGAATACTGAGACTGATCCATCACCATTTAAACCAAAGTATCGGCAGCTATCTCGAATTGTAGCCTTATAATGAAACCAAAAATCAGTGGCTTCCACTGGTTTCTCATCAATTTCTAGGCCTTTAAGGTGGGAAGCATCATTACCCATTTTGATTTATCTGGTGAAAAAAAATGATAATTTAATGGGGTTATTTCACTAAATTAGCATAATATTATTTATTTACTGCAAATAGAGCTGAGTTCATTCATACTGAAACGGGGTGTTGAGAGGGGATACGAAAAAAATAATTACAAGTGCCATTTAACATAAAAAAAAACAAACCGTAAGTTGCGACTTATATGTATTAACTAAGCAGTCGTCTTATAAATATCCGAAATAGTATTAAATAAACAAATGTTCCTTTCAAATAATTTTACGTTGTTGACAGATTTGACGACAGAGGAATTGACAGTGTACATTTCTTCTATAGATTATGCACAATCTACCGCTTCTATTTACAGATATTATGAAATTATGACTGCAGTTGAGCTATGCGTAACCCTCTTACCATATTTTTAACGTTCTTTTATTAATTTGAATTATGGGTTAATATTTTAATGGTAGTTACAATACCGTTAAAATATTAACAAAAAAGTCAGAAGCATAAAAAAATATTTGGTATAATAACTTGTCGGCTAAGTTTAGAGAAACACAATATTTTGTCAGCTACGTCACAGGATTATACAGAATAACATTTTAATTTACTCTTTTTTTTAAAACCATAGAACGTTACAGTAGTGAGTACTTTGAGAGAATACTGGTTGGAGGTTGACAACTTTTTATATGTCAAAGTTTTCAGTTTTGCCAATTAATACAGTAAACCATAAACCCAGAAGCCACAAAATTTTAACTGGATAAATGGCTTCAGTTTTAATAAAAAAGGCTCTGTTTTCTAAAACAAATGCTCTACAAAAAACCGTTGGAATAATTTGCAATGCAACACGAAATCGTGAGATTTCTTTAGTTTTTGAGTGTATTGTTAGTAGCTTAGGAATTTATTATTGTTACGTCATAATATCACTTTTCAGATTGGAATTTCCAGTACAAGCCTGGTCCGTACCCTAAAACACCTGCTGAAAGAGAGGCGGCTGCGAAGAAATATGGCTTGACTGTTGAAGAATACCAACCATTCCCAGAAGATATGGGTTATGGCGACTACCCAAACTTACCTGATATCGGTGCTGAGTCGAAAGATCCGCATTACCCATACGATAACGCTGAATTAAAGAGAAATTTTAATGAACCAGTATGTAGTTAGCTATAAACCTACCTGAGATTATTTTAGTTTCAGTGCCTATTCCAAGTCAAAGAAGAGTCATGATCTCCCGGAAGAGTCCGGAACTCCCTCTTGAGCTGGCACTTCTTATTTTAAGTCCTTATAATTGACACATGCCTTTTAATGCACTACTCTTATTGCTTTTGGTCCCTTAGATAATACGTTATAAACTTCAAAGCTGGATATCTGTTGCTCAAAATTTTAAAGGTCATATTTAATGTTATTATATTATTTAATTTCAGTATCATGTTAATGCAGAGATTCTTGGAGAAGATCGTTACAATATAAGTTTTAAACCAAGAATTTCTGTAATGGAACAGTGGTGCTGGTTCCTTGGTGTTATTGGAGGATCTATTGCTCTATATTATTACATGGAGGATTATAAGTTTGGCAGACCAGTAACAGCTAAACAGTACCCGCAAGATGGACCTCACTATTCATTCAGTTCCCAGTAGTTAACTTTTTCAGATGTATTAGATTGAAGTACATCCAATTGTTAGTAAATTGAACTCTGTACTAATTTGTTTTTCTTTTCATGAAATATTTCATGGAAAAATCTGGATAAAATGTTACTGTTTATTTAAGAGAAAAATAATTTAATTAACATACACTTTTGATATTAAAATACAGATTTATTTATAAATGCTGGTAAAATATTCATCTTCCAAATCATATAAATCAGCAGCAATATCATCTCTAAGTGACATTAATTTCTGGTCGCACTCCTGTTGTTTTGTTCGAAACAATTTTGAGTTCTGTGTTATAGCTTCGTTGACAGATGGGAAATCATTAAGAATTAGATATTGCTTGATATCTGATACAAGTTTCATAAGAGATTCTCCAGCTCTAACTGAAAACAAATAAACCTTTAAATATGAGGTATTAAAAATGTATTTCTAGAAATTATACGTTTAATCATACCAATATTTGCTGCTCTCACTTGCATTTCAAATGTATCTTGTTCAATCTGTGTCATCCTGTTGAGTTGGGATTCATTGTCACCTTTAGCCAATTTGATAATTTCTGAAAAGCAGCCAATTTTATAATAAAATTCTCAAACATTGTTTGGTCCTGCTTCAATGTCCTGCTAGAATGGTGCAAAATCCCTTTTCTCTCTTCATGTTTAATGCAAAAGCCAATTATAGCTTAATATTGTACAACATACTTTAATTCCATCTGTTCTGTATATACTAAACATGAAAAAAATATAAATCCACTTCTTTAATAAGTGTTCATTAAATAGTACCTTCAAAATTTTCTAGCATACTTTTAACATCGTCCTTTAATCGAGTTGTGTAGGATTTGAGCAAGGCTTCTTTATTTTGTGGCAAATTGCGATGCATCGTGGTGTGATTTTATACGAGCCAAGTTAAGTTTTAGATATTTTAAGTTCACGCATCAGTAAAATACAATTGATATTGGCCAAGTGACAACGATTATTTAAAAAAAACACCTGTATAAATTATTATTCGAAATTGTACACAATATAAGCTTTACAATGAAGTAAAATAATTAACACGATCGTGTTAACATATCCACTACCAAAACATTGATTGACATTAGATAGCTGATAGAAACCTATGTTAGAAACTTAGGAAATAACACAGATAAAGGTATATTGAGAAGAATGTGCTTTGACATATGGATTTTTAATCTATAGAAACTTTTGATAACCTGTGGTAGCATTACAAACGATACATTTTACTGACTTAAAAGCCTTGTTTATTCACCTTTAAAGCAGAGGTGGGCGATTATGAATGATCGGCATAATCGATTTATTTCGTATTACTATATTGGTAATCGATTATGGGATTAGTAACTAATTTGTTTTCATAATCGAACGATGTTACTGGTGCAGGTTTTAAAAATGTTCTATTCTAAGTTTATTTGAATTCCCAGGATATTGTTTTATGACTAAAAACAATGACTTCTCTTCTCGACACGCCGGATGAAACACGCCCGGGTTTTTGTACGTTTATTATACAAAATAATATTAACAGTGCACTCTGTATATATATATGTATAGTTCATTAACCCCATTTAATAAAATAATTATTACCAAACTATGGAGACGTGTATTATGATAAAAGTAAGTAGTTATAAACAACTGAATCTGCGATATGCTTTTATTTAGGGACGTTAGTAATACGGGCGTATTCTTTAAGGCGAATTGCGTTGATATTGATAAAACCAGTGCTATCTTCTGGCGAAAATCCCCCGGCGACGTCCATCGAAACGAGGTCCTTATTGTAAAGGCTGAATGGACTTTTTCTAGCCAGAACGAGAACTGAAAAAAGAAACTCAATCAAATGTCAATCATGTATTATCTGTATACAAAGTTCGTGGTGCATGCGTAAAAAATATATATTCCACAGACTTTCATAAAATAACAATACAACACAATGTAAAAGTAATATAATATAACTCACCATTGCCCTTAAAGATCTGTACTGTGACAGTTCCACTGACAGACTCTTGGGAGAGTTCCAAACACTTCCTGGTATAATTCGCTTCTGGCGAAAACCAGAAACCATTGTACACGAAGTCGGACATTTTATCTTGCAGGTTCCTTTTTATCCTGTCAATAATATAAATAGCTTTAAATATAAAATCAATGGATAGATACATACACTGCTTTAATTAAACTAGTTCTAGTACTTTAGTTAGCGCAGGTCGTTAAACCACACATTCCTAGCGATGTTTTCACATTTTCTTCATAAAAAACTTTTAACGTTGCCTTAGATTAACTCTTTCTTACCTCAATACTTCTCTGTCCAATGTGAAAGCTTCTAAATCGAGATGAGCAGTGTAAAGAATAGTACCGGCAGGAGTTTCATATAGTCCACGACTCTGAAGAAAAATAAATGTGATTCAATCTTAACAATTACCAAATGGTTAAACTTACACCCACTATGAAGCTGTCTACAATGCTATTAAATGTTCATTTTTACAAACTTTCCTTCAATGTTACTATTATTACAAGGTTGTTTTTTTCGGACGACCGGAGATTCTAACGATTCTACTAACCGATTTGTACCTTCATATAATTAGAATAACACTGCTCTTACATCAATGTTTTATTTTCTAAATATATATATTACGCGTTTACCTTTAGCCCAAGAAATCTATTTTCTACAATATCTATTCGCCCAACGCCGTGTTGCCCTCCTAACTTGTTAAGTGTCTCAATCATTTTTAGCTGATCTTGTATGAGTAGTGATTTCTCTTGTCCACTAGGAATGGTGATTGAAACTGGTAACCCTATAAATTAATTAAAAAATTAAAATCTATATTGTTCAAGCAGTTAAAATAAAATTGAAAGCCTTAGTTCGTATTCATTCTCTTTTATTACTTTATTCGAATAATTTTGTGCCAGCACGTGCCGTAGCTACTGTTGAAATACTGGCATATCGCTTTTTTTTTCATTTGTGGCAAGAAGAATTACTATTTGCCAGTGTCAAGTTAAAAGGGCATATCGCTTTATCTAAATAATAGTTTTGACCGGGTAAACCACAGATCAAAATTTAAACAGATTCAAATACAACCACTAAAATGAAACTGCCTGGCCGACATGGTTCCGAGTTCTACTATTAAAAAAAAACTTAGTTACCTTTCTTAAAAGCAATATCTATAGAGCAAGGATAATCTTCGGCCTGATCAAGATCACGAGTCATTTTGTAAATCCCCTTTGGCGGTATCTCAGCTGGATCTTCCAAAATCCCAGATTCATAACTTAAAAACATAAATATATACGTCTTAATACCTACGGACGTAAAATATTAATAAAACAATCTTTGGCACACCATACATGCAAACACTGTATGGTGAAATAGAAAAACAATATTGGTTATCATAAAATGTAACGTGTTTTTTTTTTGGAGTAAGTTTAAGTAAGCTCAAAAACTTAGATGAGGACTAAGATAGCCATTTCTTTGTAGAAAACCTAAAATAAATGAAGAAGTAATATACTGAGTATTTTATTGAATACCTGCAATTAAGTCTATTTGGAGACTACGAGAGTAGTAGACACATTTAGCTACAGTACGTTTTATACGGTTAAAATTGACTGAGCATAGTAAGTAACATTATTACCCACTAATTACCTGATATGCATTATATTTTCATCTGTAGACCAAGGAGCTTTTGGAGTCGCAGACACAGGTATATTTTCCTTTTTAGCGAAGTCCAATAAATCACTGCGACCTTGAAATCTATTGAAGAATTCTGGAAGTCTCCACGGAGCGATGATCTGTAAAATTTTACACATTTGCATCATTAACAAGAGAATCCAAAAGAGACTATCAGCCACAAATTTGGGTTTATAAAGTGGATAAATAAAGACTCACTTTTCCTTCGGGCCACAGTGAATACACGCTTAACTCGAATCTTACTTGATCATTGCCTTTACCAGTTGCGCCATGGGAGATGTATCTTAAAATTATACAAAAAAATAGTTTTACAAAGGAGGAAAGACAAGCGGGGGGTATATATCACCTAAACAAGACGTAAAAGATATACATGCTTATACTGTCGTGAACATTTTTTAGACCATTTAAAGAGGAATCATTGTTTCCTACATATTTTTTTGTTACTTAAACCGTCTTCTTAGCACACGCAACGAAAGCTATTATAATGAATAATTTTCCCCGATTTTTTACATTCAAAAAATAGTGTTTTTGCTCTCATTAGTAGTCTCGCAGAACTTACCTACTGCAGTAGTAGGTAAGTTCTGCGATAAATGCCTTATCAACACAAAAATAATTTTTCAATTCGAACCAGTAATTCCTGAGATTAGCGCAGTCAAAAACTCTTTACCCTTATAATATTCATATCGATAAAATCAAAATTAAACTCACTTGGCCCCTAATTTCTTAGCTGCATTAACAATTCCCACTGATATACAAGGCCGAGCTACAGATGTGCCAAGAAGATACCGACTTTCATACACTAGCCCCATTTGAAGGGCAGGCAGCATGTAGTTAACGATAAATTCCTTCCGCAGATCTTCCACAATGACCTGAGGAATATTAAACGCAGTATTGACATTCTTTGCTGTAAAAAAAATCGCTACTATTCGTAATTAAAAAATCGAAAAAATGTCAGTCAGCGATCCGTGCTGCTGCTCTAATCAAATATGATACCGAGTTCTACATCGCATCGTCGAATTTTTTCAACATATCGATGCATGCACCTCTCGCGGAATTTTTTCAATTTATTTTCGATTTTTAAATTATATAGTGTCATCATGTGCAAACTCAAACTCTTCTACTCGGTTAAAAATAAGACTACCTTTAGATAATTACAACTGTATAAAATATAATAACATTAATAAAAAGTAAACGTATTCTAGCTGACTTATGTATGTTTGTGTTTAAATATTCGTTGGAAAAAATAAACATCGCTTTCAGAAAATTTCAGCCACTTTTAACCTTACATCTTTAGCCCCAATGGCCATAGCCTTCTTTTTCGCTGCACTGAAGTTTTCATCTTGGCCAATATCAGCCATATAGCATACGACATCGTAATCTTTCTGTATTAGCCTGAAAAGCGTTATAAATAATTAATGAGCATTTGCAGCAATCGTGGTTCCCTTGCGACTACGGCTACTGAAACGCATTCGAAACGTCGAGCCGTAGTTAAAATAAATTATAAATAAGTGTAATACATTTCGCGTTTTATACCGTTAAAGGTGTTTTATTTAAATTAACGCTAGTTAGCGAGTTTGAGTGACTAAAAAAAGATTACCATTTCAAAATACAACTGGTATCCAAGCCGCCTGAATACGCCAATACAATTAGATCATTAGCCATGTCTACACTTAACTGCAGCTTGGGCTACACTACTTTCTGTTTTAATAACACTTTTGAAATATTACTACATAGTATGAAAGAAAGTCTGCTGTCTGTTTGTCCCTATTTACGTACATACGTATATTACATCTAAATAAGTTGCGCCGTTGACCTATTTTGACTTTGGATATTCTTAGGGCTTAAATCATAAAAACTACGCAACGGACTTTCATTAGGAGTTTTATTAGAGTCATCATTTCATATTTAAACATTTATTGAAAGAAAAATCACTTATCTACGAAGTGGTTTTAAGTAATTAGCATCAATCCTTATTTAAATGAAAAACATTTTTATAAGGATATACTTTAGTAGGTATATTTAGTATTCCGTGCGAAGTCGGGGCCGGTCGCTAGTAAATAGTTTACTATAAAGATAACCTTTGATAACTCGAATCTCTTCGAAAGCAGATTCTCAAATAATTTAGTGTGTACGTACAAATAAAACACAGATAAGGGGTCAGGAATAAATAATTTAATATAACTATTAACAGACGAATACTGACAAACTTTGCTCGAAGTCACATTTATTTCTAAGTAATTGCACACGATACTATTCGATTATTCATTTTAATTATATCAATTTAATTTTCAAAAAGTATTAGCTGTTTCGTCAATATCAATTATTTATGGGTTCAAAAACATACCAATAATAGGGCGATAAGCTGTTTTATTGTATATCGAAAGTAAGAATAAGTAGAAGAATATATTTTCGAGGTCCGCATATTAAATGAAGATCTAAATAATTGCATAGATGACATACTAATACACTTGTTTGAATCCACGAAAAATAGATGTATAAACAATGTTTTTCCTTGTATTATTTACACTATGCAAATAGTAACGGTATAATATAGTGTTCACACTATGTATGTAGTTTAAGATTGCAAAAACAAACTTTTGATTTTTGATAAAACAAATCATGTCTTAAGCAAGTTTTTAATGCGTCCCTATTTTTCATGTTGTTATACCCATTAGTAAATTAGAATTTTCTATTGCATTTTTATGTACCGCCGCACATATCCTACAGTATAGTATAGGGCGGTTTTTTTCACAATAGAAAAACCTTGGCCCATAAAGTGTTTCTATTGCAAAAAAACCTCAAAGGAACACCATTAAAATTAAATTCATACGAAGTTACTATCGTAGTTCAAAGTACTAATTTGAATAATGAATAGGTATACATTTAAAATATAAGCGATCACATATATTATATGTTATCTATTACCTACTTTTTCAACAATTTACGACGAATATTAGTATGTACCTATCAACACTTGTATAGGTCAAATACATTAAATAAGTATTAAGAAAGTGACATATTTGCTACACATACAACAGCGATAAAGTCATGTGATTTCATCATAATGTAATATGATAAGCTATATTTATCCTAATACTAATATTAAACATGTAAACTACGGAATGTAAATATATTGGTATAGAGAACAAAATTATCAAAGTGAATAAACCTATATAATAACAAATGTAATAGGTACCAAATTCAGAATATAATGTTTGATATAGAGCACTACTAATAACAGTTAAGGATAAAATTCAACGAATTTGTTCTTGTCTCACTTTAATATGCGTTCTTTATTAACACCCATAGTTTCCGGTTCATACCACACGTGGTAAAACAATATTTTACTAAGTTTCAACCAAATTGTGTATTTTATCATACAAAGTGAGTAACTAGACTTTATTACGCTTATTAATTATATTTGCATATCACGATATCCGAATACATTGATAAATATAAAACAAAAAAGTTCAATACAATTTCATAGTTACCAAAACAACAGCTTATATCTACTGCTACAGCTAGTAATCGTGAAAGTAGTATATTATAATTTGAATTACTTATAAATGCCTTTTAATTAGAGATGCGCCGAGTAACACTTTTGTCGAGTAACGAGTACCGAGTTTTATTCGGTTCATAAGTTTCATTCAACCGAGTACTCGGCTGAGTAACAAACAGTTCAAACAAATTTACAATTCGTGCGCGTAAACAAGTTCGCGCCAGTCAAAGCGTCGGCTCGCTCCCATCTTCTCGTAGTATTGTCTCATTACTACTCGTTCATTAGCAAAGTTTGGATTTGATTTATTGAAATTTTCAAATTATTCCTGAATTACTAATAAATACTTTTTGATTATCACTGTTGTTTTAATTATATCTAACTTAATATATTGTTTTTTTGAAACAAAGTAGACTTGTTATCAAATAACAAAGTGTGACCGACTACTCGAACCAGTCGAGCGACTACGCGGCCCATCTCTACTGTACCTATATATGTTGGATTTTAATTGCATCTAAAAGTTAAATACCTAAAGTGTCTTTCTTACAAATATAATAAAAGCAAAATTTAAAACACTTACTTCAGGTAAACTTAGGCCAACAATAAACTATGCAACACGTAATCTTTAAATAACTTAATATACTCTTGTGAATGAAAACGTAGCACTCCGAATTGGAAAACATAGTATTTTTTAAACGAAACGCCCAGATTTTCCTGAACTGTTAACAAAAGGCGCAAAAAATATTTCACGTCCATTTCAGTATTACGAAAAAGTACCATATTTCTTCTTAAGACTTCTGATCTACTCAAAACTCGGCGTTAAAATCTTCAAATACAAACCAAAAAAATGGTAGCCATATTACCAGTTCAAAAATTAACAAACCAGTTGTTATTAACCAATTTAAGCGGTGAGAGAGCTAAGGTCGGAAAGGAAGTTATCCGGGGTAAGGAGGTGAGAGGATCCAATGATTACTTCCCAGTTCTTGAGAGCAGCTGTCAATTCGTAAGCGCAACGGACTTCTGAGAAGCACACGCCTGCAGGAAATAACAAAGTTAAAATACTATAATATCATGGGTGAAATAGTCAGCTGATCAGTCCACACTGGACTGATCACCCAGCCATCTATCGGTGTCCTGAATAGTAAATAATAATACTGTAAGACTATTAAATATTGTTTGTATTTTACGCGAGTAGTACATTACACATAAAAGTTTTTACCCCGTTAAAACAATATATTACAAACTTATTTACAATTTCATTTACGTTTCGGATACTTTGCAGCCACTCATTTGTAAATAAGTTTAAATAATACATTTCGTTTTTTAAACCGTAAAGAGCGATTTATTTGAATGTAATGTTATTATTAATGTATTTAGTAGTTATGTTACGATATATATAACGTGAACTATACGTTGGGTTGTGATAAAACAATATTATTTTAATTTACAAATGTTCACTTGTAAAACGGTGTAATACCATAGCCACAGAATGTGCTGTCGGGCTATGTCGGCTTGGCGATAAAAAGCATTTTATTATTAAATAACTTAAGTGGCAATCGATAAAACGGGCACAAACATGTGTTTTCCCCATGTAGGAGACATGCCGTGTAGAAAAAACAAGACACCTAATTTTATATAGTAAATGTTTTCTAAATTCTGACAACTATAAGGCAGTTATAATTTACTATAAACAATTAACAATCTTTTGTGTTAAGATCAAAGTTGAAAAGACCAGAAGACCGTACCTCCAACGACGAAGACGATCAATCGGGGCACATTTTTGACGGTTTGCTGTGCCTTGTCCTTGTGCCAGTGGCCATAGCGTACACTGCGTAAAAATAAAACAATTAAGGTAAACTTTAGTTAATAATAAACAAAGTTTAGAGGAATTTACTTTTATATAGATTACAAATCAACAAAAAAAATCTATAGTAATATATAAAGCTGAAGAATTTGTTTGTTTGAACGCGCTAATCTAGGAAACTACTGATTCGAATTGAAAATTATTTTTTAGATGGGTAAGAGCATTTATCGAACGGCTTTAGGATATAAAACAACACAATACAGCTAATAGGAGCCATGAAACAGTAGGGAATGTTGAAAAAAATGGGGAAAATCATTCTTCTTTCAGGGTTTCCATAACGTGCGCTGCGACAAGTGTTCGAGATGGGAGAATTATTCCTCTTTAAATTATCTAAATAAAATGTCCACGTCATTATATGTCTATCTTTTAAAATTAACTTGCAAGGACGACAAGACGCGACCGACATGGTGGGTTACTGGCTATAATTTATAAAGATGAGGACAAGGTTTCCAAAAACGAATTTTGATGGCCACAACAGCAAGCTAGTAAAATATAAAGGACTCAAAAAAAGTTGGGTCTTTTAGTTCAGTGTAGTCGAAAATCGGTATTACCTGGTTGGTGCTTGGTAACCGGAGGTCTGGGCACGTCCAGCTAGGAATGGGAAGTGGCGTTGGTCCAGTTTGTCCTCAATAGCATCCTCCATTATATCCTGGTAAAAAAACATGTTCATGTAGGTAATGTACAGTCAATATAGATAAAAAAAGTTCCACAATTGAGAACTGGCAAGAAACTCGCCGTAACGTCAAGTTCTTGTAACAATTATAATGCACTTATTGGGTAAGTCTTTTTCCTTGGTAGAGCGGGTTCCTCCGAGCAATGATATCATTCAAACATTGATTTACACGTTAATAACACCTTTTAACCGGTTCTGTTTATCACACGATTCAAAGTTATTGGTTGACACTATTTCACTAGATACTTTATTAAACCGTTACCTGGAAAAGAATTACTGGTTTTATGAGACTTTAGTACCCCTATGTATTATATTGATGGAAACTACCATTTGTTTTACAATTATGTACATTTTTCATAATTTTCAAACACCCGATTGGACACACTGTTAATACTATAATATGAACAGCAAAAATAAAAGTAGACACAATCTATAAAGTAAGGTTCCAAATATCCAACTGATGTAAATTAGATGGAGTATACCTTAAGAACTGGAGTCCATCGTGACATCTGGTAAGTCTGTTCAGTGATCCTCTCCTTGCGGGGTACTTGGTACTGCTTCTTTCTGTTGCCCTATAAAGAGTCACATTATTTATTCACAAACGAGAAAACAAACATTTTCCCCCCACCCCTCACATACACAAACACATACAGAAGTATCCCATCTACAGTAATAGATATACACAATTTTTATGCTTTGAATTAACAATGTTAAAAAGATTTTCTACTCGATTTTACCCACGTGACTTTATTTATTTTATTTTGTGTATGTACCGAACATGCACAAAAGAATATCTCACTAAGACCGTCGCAGGTTCGAATACCGCCGTTTTTTTTTTATTGTAGAGGCGGACAGACAAGTATGGGGTAATTTGATTGGAGCTAAAATACCCCAGCTATATAGCATAAACTATTCTATGTTTCTTAAATTTCAATAAAGTCTTCAAACTTACATCGACGACAACATTAAGGCCGAGGTTAGCCAGGTTCAACAGCGCTTGTTTGTCGGACTGTTCAAGTTGCGCGTGAGTCACCAACTTGTTCAGGTTTTCCTCAGATATGCCGTTCTTCGACATTATGTAAAGCGCAATTATGCGCATCTTGTCATAGTTCTTCACCGCCTGAAAATATGCAAAATTTAATTAATGAATAAAATATTGTGAATGCTTAATCTAAATATAAGATATTTAAAATCTCGGGGGTCCTTACGTCAGAACCTGAGGCCATAATTAAATAACAATAAGTTAACTAATATATTCCGTTAAAAGTGTTTTATTTAAATGCACACGACACAGAGAGCTTTAAGTGTTTATTAATTTGCAATATCTTTTGCACATACAAAAGATAATAATGTACTTCCATGGAAAAAAATGTTGTCTTGGAAGTAGACATCATTATATCAGAGTTGAATTGTAAAGTGCATATCCATACAATATTCATATGTATAGAATTCATGTATAATTGATTTTTACTGAGAATTATCACACAAAACAAAATATTTCAAAAAAAACTTTGCAATACATTACCTGATCTAGTAGCACTGGTACAATGCTCCTCATGTGATCTTTAATCTTTTCACCTTCAGCATCGGTTCCCATAGCCAGGTCCTAGAGAAAATAATAGCATATTCTTAATATAAATCTTACAGACTCAATCCCATTGATGAAACGTAATTATAAAGAAGCTACAGGGCAACAGGTGAAGGCAGTTAATGTAGACTGATCACCAGCATTCCATCGGTGTCCCCGATAGAAAAAATAATTATATAGAATTTAGGTAAAACGTCTTCTAAATGTAGTCACAGAAAACTGAAGTCTTCCTAATGTTGCTCACATTTACAGGCAATTAGTCGATAAGACTTCTGTGCCCTGCCCGAAAGTGTTGATCGCTTCCCCGGGTTTAGAACCACGAAGGCGGTCATTAATTAATCAATTAGGGAGTATGGATGTGTTCTATATACTGCCGTAATAACAATTACTTTTAATAGAATTTCCATACCTGTTCCACTTTGCACAGTTTGTCAACATATCCCTGATACACCTTCATGCAGTCTTCGGCAAGACGCAAATGGGTCGCGTACTTCGATAACTCCTTTTGGTATTGCGGCATCTTCTTGATCATCAGTGATAGATCCTTCATCGATTGTTTATCACCTTGAAAAGAGAGAGTAAGGAGATTTCAGTGTGCGTTTTTTGTTGTCTACCCTCTGTAGTAAAGAATATTATTTCACGTAAAGTGTTACCCCATTAGGCATTTGTATTACCAGCTACTCAAAAAGGTCTCTGTTTCTTCTGTTAAGATTATACTATAGAACCTGTTGGTCTGGTATTATCACACACTGTTCTCTAACTATGTATAACAAAGAGTAATCATGTATTTCGTATGCTTTTAAATTAAACAATCACATACTGTCTATAGTTTACGCGAGTAGTACACATTATTTGAAAATGATTTTAACTTCAGCCCGACATTTCAGATGCTTCGCAGCAGCCGTCTCCCCGTGACCACGGCTGCTGCACGGCTGTTTTATTTAAATTTTGTCATTATTGTTTTCCCACTTGTGTTTATCGGGTATAAAATATTTTATTTACAGTTCCAAGTAATTTATCTCCTAAGCAAATAAGTTCCTATGTGCTAAGTTGGTAACCTAGCAATATCCTGTATATTTATTTAAATAAACTTATTAAAGGGACTTCCTACCTCCCATGCGTTTCGACTCAGTGAACTTCTTCAAATTCTTGGTAACAGAAGTGGAGACAACGGCAATGTGCTGGTGCCTCAATTCCACCCACAGCTCGTCATTTTCATCGAGCAGAACCTCCTTCATGGACCCGGCAGATGCTTCATATCTTTAAAGATGATATATATTTTATATTTCTGCATAGTTTTATAATGTGTAAGGGTGGGGTTTGATCCGAAATATATCAGTTTGATTAGGCGACGACTGTTTATATGAAATATACCAAGTAATCAATCCAAAAACTCCACGCGAAAATCTAGGTTTAAAATCCAGGGAAGCCATTAAAATAGTTTTAACAGGGGGGGCGCTGACTAATAGCCTATGATACGATATGAAAGTTCACTATTTAACTATGTATGTGTGTTAGCTTTATTTAAATTAACAAGTCATATATGTAATCAATTTTTATTATGTAAACTAATTAGTCAATGTGTCAAATATCTGGAAGTGGCGGAAGTGGTCGTAAACGGTAGACAAACGACTTTTTAAATCTTTATTTACCAAAGTTAAAAAATCAATAGGGCTACTTATTGACTATAGCGTGATGTTTATTTTTATATGTGACTATAGTTATCTCTCAAATTAAAAGTATAAAATGAAGCATATTTACTAACGACAGCCACTACTAGTGAACACTTATTGCATATACAAATTAAGTACATGTTGTTAACTATATATTACATATATAACTATTTAGAACTATCAAACGACATTCGTTTGTGGCATTAAGTAGTAAATCTTTAATATCATGTCGCTATATGTCGCAATCAAACACATAAAAGCATGCCACTAGTGCGATGAAATAACAACAGCCAGTGTATGATTCATTATGACATCATTATTTGATCTCGTATCTAAACTTAGTTTTCTAGAATTTTAAAAACTCTTGTATTCAATGTGTGTCTTACCTATAAACATCATTTTCAATAGGCAGTAGATCGTACGCCATCGCTTGAAGAGTGAGTTCGTGCAACAGGGGCGAAACACAGTCGAAGCCGCGGTCTAAGACTAGTAATTGGGATCGCGCCTTCTCGGGGCCTTCGCCCATCGTCGGTTCATCGGCCTGGAATTTAATTTATCAAATAATGATATAATTATGTTGCTCGTCGTGCATTGCAAACGAAAAAAATTGCAACAAACTTTTTAACGGCAAGAAAGTTGTTCAAAACAATTTTATAGATTATAAAACAATATTACTCTTTGAATACATATTGCACATTTCACAAACAGACAATTGAAGGCTAAGACTACGGCGGCCTTCACGGCCGGCTATTCGGAGGCGGATCTCTTTACGACAGCAAAAAAAGCTTACTTAATAAAAGAGTATTACTATTATATATTGCGAATAAAATGTTGCTTTCTATACATATATATATATATAAACGCCTCTGAAGACAAATAGGTCGTCTTTGTAAGTGCGAGAGGTCCTGGGCCCTTCAAATTCCGTGGAGACAATGGATTGTTTCCATTGGACAGGGCACAGAAGTTGATCGACTACTTGCCTTGAAATGAAACCAGAAATGTGGTGGGACACGAAATAAAAGAACTGGTTCCTCTTAAACTAACTCGAGCATTGCCATTTAAATATTGATTTATGTTATAAGTATGGGATTATAACAAGAATATTACCTTATAGGCATCCAGCTTTTGTTGAATCAGTTGCGCCAATTCCACATTGCGTTCCCAGTCGCTGTAATATCAGAAGCAATTAAGTAATTGCATTATATAACTTTAATATGATAATAGTTGTGTAAGGCTCTACACTAGTAGTTCTGTTTTTCGAGTTGTCGTAAATACAACAAAAAGCGTATTAATATCATTACCTGCGGTAGCGAACAGATGGGTACTCTCCAAGAGTGGCACACAGAGTAGCAATTTGCTCAGCGATACGCTCCATGTTCGCATTACGAGTCTGAGTTAAAGCTGGGTTGTACATGCACTGGAAAGTCTCCGGAGAATCCAGTGAGAATACCTATAATTAAAGGTATTCATTTAGAATGACGAATAACGAAACTAAGTGCCAGAGACGTCAGGGTTAACAATATTTTTTTTTATTCAACTGTAATCAAAATTAATAATAATTCATGCATCATGTCCGAGATGTACAATAGAAGTGTTAAAAATTCACCTGACTCTCATAAGGCAAAAAGGCGATGTTGATTTCTTTCAAGGTTTTAATTTTTCTACCAGCTGATGACTTGCAGAGTTCGTTGAACAATTCCTCAGGGCACACTTAGTAAGAGCAGCGTGTAAAAACAACACAAATTCACGCACAAGAAACATTTCTCTAGTTCATTAGCGACTATGTGATAAATAAATGTAAGCAGACTGAAGAACAAACCTGTTGTTCATATGGTATGTAAGCAATGTTGATTTCCTTTAATGTCTTAATATATTTAGCTACACGACTACGGGATAATTCATCAAATAGCGCATCAGGGCAAGCTGGAATGAATCAAAATAAAATTGAAAGGCAACTAAATGAACAGGCATATACAAAAATAATCATGGATGTCAAAATATAAAAAAATATATGGGGTTTCACTTAGAGGCAATAGCAATAGAAAAATACCTTCAGTAAAGAAAACATGAGCGGCTTTGTACATAATTCGGTTTCCGATGGAGAAATCATTGATAAGGGCGTGCACAGATTTCTCAGACGGAGTGATTAAATAAATTCCATCCATTGTGTAGAGAGGCTCCCTCTTCTTATGAATGTCTTCGACCACTAAAAAGAGTACTTCTTATAATAATTATTGCAAATAAAGATAAGCTAAATTGATAAGAGTCAAAGACATACAGGTGATGCCCTCAGCAGAAATGTCATGCATTTTGCAGCAAGCAGAAACCATCCTCATTGATAGCTGATCCACTATAAGAATGCGCCATTCTACACCCTTCTGAGTTTCTTTGCCTTTGGGTCTATAACGAATGACTTCATTCATAATTTCTGTAACAAGATATAAGATACAATGTATTTTTAATTTTGGTTGTGGTTACGTGATAGACAATTATTTTTATATAATATTGAAGAGATAATTGTTGGTTTTTAAATAGTACATAGTAAAAAACTCAATAGCATGGATAAAATTAAACTTTCAAATTATTTTGATGAAATAGTCTAAGGAAAATAAGATTTCCAAAAAGAATAATCATAGCACTTATTTAATATGTATTTTAAGCTGTCTGAAGATTATTTAGAGAAATCTTTGTATGAAAAATTTTGTGCATCACAAAATTTCATGGTTTAAAATTTTTCTTAGGAAAATCCTCATGACTTAAAAAAAATTTAGTTCTTTAAAAGAATGATTCTAAATTTAATTAAACAATAACATAATCATAAAATAATTGAAGTGGTGAGTTCTTGAAACGCAACGAATGACGTTTTCGCCCCCATTCCCACCCCTCAATGGAGTGTTAAGAAAATCAATAACTTCACCAATATAGGATGAGGTAACTTCTAGAAAATGAAACGTTTTACAACTAAAAACAAATAACCATGTCTGAAAGTGTAATGATTATTTTATATTTAACATAGTAGGTGCTTTTCCTGCGGTGAAAATGGGAACACAGTTCTACGAAACATAATTTACGGTAAATCAAAGAAGTAACTCTTATCTTAAAAGTGCATACAAGTTTATTTTAAACATGATAGAGTTGTTTAAGTACTTCATTGTTAGCGATTTACAATTTAGGTGTTATACAGAAACATTAGTCATCGATACACAATGTTATTAGATTGTGGGATGGTCCACTGCAAAAGAAAAATAGATTCATATCATTTCTACTTACTTTGCCCCACAAGTGCTTTGAGAGCCATCTTGAACCACAAATATTATAATTATAAGCTGCCGAACTGAACTGATTTTATTTACTTCAAAAATACTGAAATCCTGAAGAATACAAAATGAATCAATTGAAAATTCTAAAATAGAATGCATTTGACTTTGACATCTTGGGTTTATCAAAAGTGTGTACATTTGACAATTGACGTTATGTAGACTTAAAAACAAAAATATAAGCGTTCCATATAAAATTTTTTATCGATCTTCATAGATTCTCTAAAAGATTAATGGTAAAAACATACACGATGCAAGAAAATACATTTCAGTTAATACTAATATATGAAATTTAAATAAAATTAATGATTTTTTTACTTCAACTTTAATAGCGCGGCAAACTTAAAGATGTTTATCCAAATATTAGAGTACTTTAATAAAGTACTGTTCACAACATAGTTGAATACTTAATCTTTGATTCTGTACTGTGAAAACAATTTAATAAAGAAAATTACTATAGAAAACCAAAAGTTAGTATAAATAATAAACAAAAAATATTTAATAATTATTTTATTACCAAACATACATTTTGTAACAACTAAACTAAGATCAGGTTTAAGTTAATCTTTATAAGAGTTATTCTTAAGAAAAATAAACATATATCGTTTTATTTTTCTTAGAGACCACAATTCAACAATAGAAATGCGCGCGCAATTTTCCTGCACACATATAGCGGGTAATAAAAGAGAGGGTCGATATGAAATGATAAGATAGACAAGGATGCAATGATATAGTTGCTTTTCTCTGGCATAGTTGAGCGGATCAACATTCACGACCAACAACTGACTATCTCGTTCTTTGGTACTCGGTGTGGGATCGCGCCAAGTTTGTGTGTCCGCGATACTCTATAGTTAAAACACATCGACTCGATTCGACGAATCACGGACCACGGTTGCGGAAATTCAACTAAGCAAATCAGTTTTATGTTAGCTCGTTGCTTGGTGGATGTGACTTTTGTTGCAAAATAATCGATGGCACGTGTTCGCATATAAATTGTCGAATAAGCAGTGTGTTTATTTTTTTTTAAAGATAGTAAATATCGAAAGGAATAGTAATAGTAAGAAATAAATAATAACTTTCATATAATTTTTCTCTCATCGTCTATTTTTTTAATAGAATAGAAACCGGTATAAAAATTTATATTTACGGTTAAAATAAAAATAATGTGGCCAGTGTAGTGCAGTGCAAGTGATGGATAATAAACTTTTTGAGACGTGATTAACAAGTATTTTAATTTTATCGGCGATGCTTGTTTCTGTATAGCCTAAGTGAATCGGTGAAGATGAATGATGCTATAAAATTAGTTATCAAGTATCCTTGTCGTGTCGAAGGATGGGTGGAGAGATGTGGTAATTTTTTAATATTTTTTATTGACTTTGTTTTATGTTATTTATTAATAAAAAAATGAATATGCTCTTCAAACTATTTTGAAAAAAAGCCTTAACGTGCTTTGTGTGCTTAAACTTTTTCACTTCATAGAATTATACTGATTTACACCTTAATTAATTTATCCTATTTTTAAACACAATGCTTTAATTAATTTGGTCTAAGTTAATGTTTTAGAGGTATATTAAAATTTGTTTGTCGTCAACGACAAGTTCTGATCTTTCTTTGTAGCTGCAGCCGTGGGCAGTAGTGTGCCTTGACTTTGCATGTTTGCATTAGGACTTAATTTAATCATTTGATTATTAGGTTTATTGATTTATTGACTATAATGTTTATAAACAGAAATTATACATTAGTATCTCAATGAAATATGCATATTTACAAGTAAGATTAATGTATATACTTAATTTATGATACCTAACGTGTCATTCTAGATCTAGAAGTTTTCTAGAAGACACGGACGGGATATATCAACCTTAGATTGATATCTGGAGAAAATACAACATACAAAGTTAAATATACGTATGTAAGCGTCGTTTTATCAATCAAAATTGTAAATTACATATACAACAGGCTGTTGCATATTTAGATAGCAATATGTCCATTAAAGCTGATCATCACTGCTAGGTATGGAATTCAGTCCACATTTATTTTATAATAAATTAATCCGTTTAGAACGAACTATATCACTGTTCCGAAATTCTTTTTCTATAGCCGTAGCTCGGCATAACGAAAAGTACACATATATCATGATAACACTAATAATTAATAATCGAATCGAAATCGAAGTATATATTATTAAATTCGGTAATTGCAAACATAAATAAAAAATCGATTATAGATTTTGGCGACTTGGAACGGCGACTACAGCGTTCCGTGTTGTAGCTCTACCCCATTGAGCCACCGTGTCCATGCACCTCTTGCAATTATTTTAAATTGTAAAAATGTTATTGTATTTATTTTCTTGTCAATTCAAATTTTGAAATTCTTGTTTTAAATTTATACACCTTCGGAGACCTCCATCGTTGGATAATTAATCTGGTTTCTCCAGTGATACGAACCCAAATTTTACGCCTAAAGTCTGTATCAGCGTGACACCGAAAGCTTTAAATCATTTATTGCTTTTTTTCTTTACATTGACATAGTGTAATCTCCAAGTGACATATTTGACCCCTTTTCAACTCGTTCTGTCTTCGATTGTCATAAATTATAGAAAAATGTTACTGACACACCTACTTTAAAAGAAATCAGTAAAAACTTTTCCTTACATGACTAACATGGCACGTAAGTCCACACCCTGATCTCACCATCAGTGTGTAAAATGTAAATGATTTTCTTACTTACGTATGTAGCACGCACGTCTTAGTTAAGTGCATTAGACAGGATTTACATAAAAAGTGAAAAGCGTTTTCTTAGCTTGTGATAACTCCACGGTCACTAGCTCAAGAAAGTGTCACTCAATCACATCTATCTTGAAACTTAACACACACTGTCACCCAATGGTCAAATGGTGGTTAATTTGTTTACTAAATTTATATTACTATACACCGCAGACTATGAGGTCCAGAGTTCAACCCCAAATCGGTATATATGACACTTTACAAAGAAAATTTCTAGGACCTTATAATATGATAAGATGTCCACCTAATTTGTCTTTATATATATTCGGCTACTTTATGCATGTTCCTCTTGAGCAAAAATAATTCAATTATCAAAGATTTTGTAATTAATAGGTTCCAACACATTGGTTTTTATTTATTTATCACAGATTATAACACATACCACAACACAAAAAATATACGAGAAAAAGCTTACGTACTAGGGGTTAAATCGGCCTTATCGCTAATTAGCAATCTCTTCCAGGCAACCTGAAGTACAGGAAAAATATATATAAAGGGACTTATTAATTAGGTAATATGCAATAATATGAAACAGTTATACACTTTCAAGTAAAAAAATAGAAATAGCATTAGGGAGGCCGAGAATAACAGTTTTAGGCGTTTTTACATATGTATATCTTCTATACGTGCTATAAAACTGCTTCTCACTGTGGGATAATCTAGTCTGTCTGAAAGGCTAGGCTACACTATAAGGTGGAAATGTGAGGTCCTAGTCAAGGAAGTCCTTAGATTACCATACACTAAGTGGCCACTTAGACGTACTCAGAAGTGGGATGCTACTGATTCAATAGGCTAGTTGCTACATCGATTAGTCATTGTTGTATATACGATTTAATTGAGAAATATGCAGGTATCTGTTTGTGTTTGCGTGGTCTTCATAGTATAAAATTAATTTAATCAAAATAATACGACCTAATGTATTACTAAATATTGTATATTTGTTGTATCGTTTTCATATAGTTATATTTAAAGCTATTTATTGATCTCCTATTAAAATTTTAATACTCGTGCTTTGTTCCATAAATTCTAAAATTGCGAAAATTTTAAATATCTAATCGTTTTTTATTAATTAAAGATATATTTGTAATAACTATTTGTCTCAATTGTATGTTAAATTAAATTTACTATTGATGTACGTTTTTGTATCCTTTTCTACATAAACTACTATGTCATATAAATGCCTATGTGTACTTAAATATTGTATGTATACAAGAACACTTTCTTGAATTATTACATACCCATCTACGGCGATTAATATTTCATTGAAATTAAAATTAAGGCAATTCTTTACTAAACTTTATGAATTTTTATTTTGGGTTTACCAGATTTAGATCTACCACAAACTTACAAATACTATAGACTAAAGCAAGGAAGAGAAAGTCAATGTTAATTAAAAATATTAAAGTCGTTTAAGAATTTAATTTTAGTGGGTCTTCGTATGTGTCACTCTAATGGTGTGATGAAGCCGTTAGACGTGAGTACGTGCCGTGCCTCTAAATATTTCTATTACATTCTCCTTGAAACGAACACACATTGCCGTTTTCGACTCAGTTCTTTTTTGTAGTCATGTATTTTTATCAGCCTTGCCATCGGTCGCACTATAATAACTAAAACATTTTATGCCTTGCATTATTACTCCAAAATGAGGCGTGGGGCATATTTTTCATTTTGTGGTTATAGTCATAGTAACAGTCGTAGTAATTAAGCAATAAGCTATGCGTCAAATTGAATTATACTTTTTTTAGCATAAACAAAAAAATCACAAGTGTTTTTTTATAAGTGGTTAATAAAGAAAACTTTTTTTAAAGAAATGTATTTTGATATTTTGCCTTATTTCAGCAAATGCAAGGTAAAGTCGAAACGTCGGGCCGCAGTTAAAACAAATTGTAAAATAAGTTAAATAATATTTTAACGTTTTAAACCGTTAAAAGTGCGAAAAAAAACATTAGAATTTTTAAAAGGTATAATCAATAAAGGGTATCCCGATAGAATCGTCAGTATATGAGCGTCGCTATTTAAAAGTTAATTTGTGTAGAGGGAATCGTTAAAGATAAATTAAGTGTTGATAAAGTATGGGGATGCAGGGGATAAAAGTGCACAGTTTCTATAGAGCCAAACGACATCGCTTAGTAGGCGTACACAGTGGGGAGAGTGGCAGAGTGGCAAATGGCAATATTGCTGGAGGGTGCTCGTCG